GTAGACCAGGCTGGTCTCGAACTCACAGAGATCCGCATGCCTCTGCCTCCCTCCCAAGTGCTGGGATTAAAGGCATGTGCCACCACACCTGGCTGAGTATAATTATTTTTTATTGCTGTCTTTTTTTTTTTTTTTTTAATCTTTTTTGAGACAGGGTCTCCCTGTAGCCACAGCTGTCCTGGAACTTATTGTGTAGATCAGGCTGGCCTTGAACTCACAGAGATCCTCCTGCCTCTGCCTCCCGAGTGCTGGGATTAAAGGCCTGTACCTCCATGCCCAGCATATTCCTATCCTTAATACCGTAAGCTTTGTAATCACATCTAAAAGTTCTGGAGTGCCGTCAGAAATTATTTCATATATCCATGCTAATCAGTGTGCTAATCAAGCATCTTTTGACTCATCTGCTGCTTTGAAAAAAGCTAAATGCTATCAAAATACCTGAAAGCAAATCCTGAATCCATCACTCTAGAGTCCAGCCTTGGAAGACAAAAGAAAAATGAGGAGGAACCTAATAGGGGGATGCTTTTGGAAGCCCTTTTCAAGAAATTCCAATGGATTGTCATTTGGAACAATTGCCCTATTCTGACTTTTTTTCTAGTTCCCTGTATAGAATTTGTAATGCTAATTACTCTTGTCTTTACTTCTCCTTCACATCTCCTATTCACGATTCAAGGACTTTCTTTTCCACTTAAGAGATAAGAGTTATGCAATTTGGGAGTCTTTTAGATAGACCCACTGAAGTTGCCTCACCCTACATCCCTGTTCAGCATGGAAGAAGCCAGAGCCTTCTGTGTCCCTATTCCCTAATGACAATTTGGGTGTTGTACCCCATCCATTGGACCCGAAAAAGACCACCGAGGACCCAACACACCAAAATGCAAAAGCAAAGGTTTATGGTTTATTTGGGCTTAACACATGGACTCTTTTTTTTTCTTTTGGCCTTTTTGAAACAGGGTCTTACTGTAGCCCCAGCTAGCCAGGAACTCACTATGTAGACCAGGTGGCCTTAAACTTGCAGGGATCTGCCTGCCTCTGCCTCTGAAGTGCTGGGACTACAGACATGCACCACCATGCCTGGCTTACACTCTTAAAGAGTTCATGTTGGTATATGAACATTTGAAAATTGCCCTGTTTTGACTTTTTTCTTGTTCCCTGTCTAGAACTTGTAATGATAATTACTTTACTTCTCCTTCTCATATCTTATTCATGATTCAAGGACTTTCTTTTCCCTTTAGAGATGTGTTATGTAATTTGGGAGTCTTAGATAGACCCACTGAAGGGGTACTCCAATTGCCTCACCCTGTGTCCCTGTTCAGCATGGAAGAAGTCAGGGCAGTCTGCCTCCCCATTCCCTATTGGTTATTTGGGTAACCTTTTCAGAGGATGGTGTGATAAGAAAAGGAGGTAGGAATTGGCTAGGCAGTTAGGGTAAAAAGACCTTTAAGAAAAGTAGCCAGTTTCTTGGCTAAAACTCGCTATGTCCTTGGGCCTCTTAGCAACATACTCTGTTCCAAAGGCCAAAAATGTCAAAAGTATTTGGGAGCTTGTATCTAATCGTTAAAAGATTTTAGGGTTATCTCTTCAGAGGGGGGAATATTAGAGTAGACAAAAGCCCTATTAAAAATAAATAAAAGAAGAAAGAGTACATGAAATTATCAGAAAAAAAGTGATGGAGAGATATGGGAGGAGTTGCTAAATGCTTAAAATAAGTGAGATGATTTTTATGACATTAAAGTCATTTGATCCTTAACAAATTTGTACCTGCTATGATTTGAGTAGAAATACTGAAGTCAAGGTTAGTTGATTTCTAGATAGAAGACATGGACTACTTTTGTACTAGAAGGTTACACAGTCAAAGGACCCTAGCAACTTTTGTTCAGAGTGTTAGAGTGTCTCTGTTTGTGTGTATGCAGTATTTCCCTTCAAAAATAAATGATTTAGGACTGGGGAGATAGCTCAGTTTGTAAAGTGCTTGCTGTACAAGCTTGAGTTTGATCTCTAGAATCCATCACCAGCATGTGGCTTGCCATGATCATGTAGTGGCTAGTATTCTGCATTCTGATCTGTAGAACTCATAAAGTGTGGTGGCCTACGATCTTAGTGCCAGTGCTAGGGAAGTGGACACAGGAGGATCCCTGGGGAGGATCCTTGGGGCAGATCTCTGGGACTCACTGGTTGGCCAGCCAGCCTAGACAGTGAGAGACCCTGTCTCAAAAAAAAAAAACAAGACGGATGGCCATATCGATGAACAACATCTGAGGTTGGCCTCTAACCTCCATAATCTTGTGTACCGACACATATCCCTATACACACATGCACACACATCCCACACACAATTTGAATGTCAGAATCACTGCTGTGACTGGCAAAAAAGTTGTAAAATTAAAAAAACCTCCAAAACAAAACTCCATGCAGTTAATTCTGTTTTTTATAGGTCATGTTATCTTACATACTTTGTCATATGGAAAATGTGGCAAGTTTGTAAGTGTTAACTTGGGTAAGATAAGATGACTTGGTGTTTTGGTATCAGTGTTAGATGATTGGCTTGATTCTAAATCCTGGCACATACATAGATGCACGTCTTACCTACTTAAGTGCCTTGAGTTGAAGTATGAATCTTGAAGTACGAATAACACCATTCTCATCTGTTGTCACCTCTCACCTGCAGTAATCTTTGCTTTTGCTTTGCCTCCTAGCCCTGTGATCTGTTTTTCTACATATCTGTGATGAGATCTTTAAGAGCTAAATCAGTATATTTACTCACTGCATAAGAACACCCACCTGTACTTTTCTCTTTGCGTGTGGAATATTCTACCAATGCCTTAGCAGGTCCATGTTTTCTTCCTCTGTGACTGTGTGACCATGTTTCCCTTATCCTTTCATGACATATCACGTATACCAGCCCTTCTCTACTTCTTCAAGCACTTCACTCTTTTTTCTTCTATCTCTTTGTTTTCAGTATTATTTTCTCATATATGTGTAATCTGAAATTGCATAGTAATGGTTGTAGTACTGTTCTGTCTCAGAACAGTGGACTTCTTTTTTGTCATAGCTTTCTAAGTATGTCCATACTTCTGAGTAAGGTGTCAACAGTGCACTTAACAAGTCTATGGCATTTTATATTGTAGTATGCTGGTTAGAGTGTATGTAATGTTACCAGCAATAGTCCAGTATAAGTAAAAGTGTTCAAGAGTGGTCAGTAAATGTTGTAAATCTGGCTTTGAGTGTAAACTCAGATTATACTGTTACAAGGAAGTTTTTGATAATCTTTTAAGTTTATTATATTTATTTATTTTTTATGTGTGTGCACACGCTCGTGCCACAGCATACCAGTGGAGACCAGAGCACAAGTTGTGAGTGTTGATTCTCCCTTTCTACCATGTGTAGGACCTGGGGTTTGAACTCAGGTCATCAGATTTGGCAGCAAGTACCTGTGTTAGTCATTTTTCTGTTGCTGTGATAGAAACAGCGACCCAAGAAATTTATAGAAGGAAGAGTTTATTTGAGCTTATGGTTCCAGGGGAATTACAGTCCATTATGGCAGGGAGGCATGGTGGCTGGAGGTGGCTGGAGTAGGAGCAGCAGAAGCCAAGCTCTCACATCATCATGCGGGCACAGGAAGCAAGAGAGCAACTGGTGGCAAGGCTTAAGAACTCTGTAGGCCCACCCCCAGTGATGTGCTTCCTCCAGGATAGCCACACCTCCTAAGACCTCCCAAAACAGCATCACCATCTGGGGACAAAATGTCCAAATAACTTGGAGCCTGTGGGGACAATTTCATTCAAACCATCACAGTGCCTCTACCCACTGAGCCATCTTACTGCCGCTTTCTTGATAATCTTGACTGGAGAATTTGTCTGTTGGTTCATTTTATTATAATTGAGTGAATACACATCTAAAGAATTCTTAGTTATTTGTGGGATTTGGGCATAGCATGTAGCACATGAAAGACTCTAGGTGAAGCTACTGCTTAGCTGTGTAAAATTACTGCCTTTAGCGTTAAAAACAAGTGCTTTAAGTGTCTATTTTCTGACTAAGGACAGTGCTGCTGGCTTACAGAGATAAAGTAGTTATTTTATTGACTGAGATACCTTTGAAGTCCTAAAGACTGATTGGCAAATCAGACTGCCTTTGATTTTTATTTTAGGTAGGCCTAGGAAGATGTTAGAGACTCATTAAGGATAGCATTTGACTTAGGGAGGCGTTCACACTCCTACCCCCTTTCCCTGGAGCTGTTTGGCTTTGGATTCATATCTTCTTGGTTTCTCATGGCATGGTTCTATTTGCTACTGAAGGGACTTTACTCTTGTAGGTCTCTTATCTGAGAGAGGCTATGTATAATCTTGTTTCTTTCTTTTTTTTTTTTCCTGCTGTAGAAACTGAGTCTTCATTAGGCTTTTAAATAAGTTTCAAAGTCCTAAATGTAAATGGATTCTTATACCTCATAAAGACCACTTCAGAATAAAGGGAGAGATAGTACAGGAGCACTGGCATAGCACAGAAAAAAGGCAGGTGACTTTTGACCAGTTAGCTGTCATGCAATGACAGGTTTAGGGTGGCTGTTTCTTATTTTGACTAACTGGATGGACTATGGTAACAGTAGCATTTGTGAACCCTTGTTTTTTGAATTTCAGAAAGTTGCTTTAGGCATTTCTTTTGACTTGTAGCATTTCGTAATTGAATATCAGTTTTCCTATACTTACAGAAAAGTTCCATGGGAGTGATTTGGGAAAGTAATCTGTTATCACCAATACATATGGATATGAGAAAGTAATGAAAGTGTTCAAAGAATGTACACTGAGAACACCAGCATACTAAGGGTGAGGAAAGTTGGATCAAAAGGTACTAAAGAAGGGCAGAAGAAGGAGAACCCCAGGAGATGGTAGAATTCCAGTTGCTTAGGGAAGACAGAAAGCCAGAGCCAGTGGAGAAAGAGCAATGATGACACAGTTTAGAGTGGTCAAGAAAAGTGAAGATGGAAAAACTGGGCTTGGTGCTCTTAGTGAAAGTAGTTTTCATTTCAGAACTAGACTATAAACAAGTGGCTGAGTGGGGAAAGTGAGTGTCTGCTGTGAATAAGCCTAGCTGAGAAGGGACGGTCAAAGTAAAAGGTACAGGGGCTGCTGAATTGGAGAAAGTACTATGCTGTGTTCACATGAACCCTTGTGTTTAAGTTGCATGATAACTTGTGTTTTGTATGTTGTGGTTGGAAGGAGAAATGTCCTCACAGGCTCCACCATTTGAATACTTGGTCAGTTGGTGGTGCTTTTGGGGGAGTCATGGAATCTTTAGGAAGTGCAGCCTGCTGGAGGAAGCTCATCTTAGGTGGGCTTTGAGAGTTCATAGACTTGCCTCACTTCCAGATTAACTCTGTTTCCTGTGCTTGAACATGTAAGCTCTCAGCTGCTACGCCTCCTCCCCCATTACGTAGTCTTAACCTTCTGGAACCTAGGCCCAAATAAACTCTTCTTCTCTAAGTTGCCTTGGTCATGGTGTTTTATCAGCAACAGAAAAGTAACTAATGCATTCATGGAGTGTAGGGTAAGATCCTGGCTCTCGACATCAAATGTGGGCTCTGCCACTTTCAGCTTTAGGACTTTGGACATTACCTAACTGCATTTCCTCTAGTTCCTCATCACTAAAATAGGGATGATAATCAGACTTTGGAAGTTAAATGAGATAGAACGCGGTAGATGGATGGAATTCCTAGCGTATTGTTAATATGATTTGTAGTAAGAAAATATTTGATTATTTTTAGCATTGATGTTTAAGTATACCTGCCTCCTGTATAATTTTTTTTAAACTTTAGATTATGAACAAGTTTGGTTCCATACCGTATGTAACAGAAAGGACTACCCTATCATTTTTCCCCCCTTCCAACTTTTGTTAATTATAGAATTTCTGTTTGTTACATATTTAATATTTAATGGCTGTGCTATAACTGATTTCCATTATTGTTTTAGTTGTAATTTTGTAATGAAAAGGTAGATTCCAAGCTTGATACTGCTTGGCCATATCTTCTTTATTCTTTTTTTGGTTAAAGTTGATTTTCTGTGAGTCTTTAAAAAGGTTTCATGGAAACTGTATTTCCAAAAATATGTCAGGGCCGCCACACTGGTCGCCTAGCTTGGGGTGCATTGGGTGTCAGGTGCAGCCACGAGGCAGTTGCGAGCACCCCAACATGCACTTCTCTTGCCAGGGGATGGATCTGCAGGCAACCACTGAGCTGTGCACCTTTGGCCACTGGCCATCATCACCCAGGTAACAAACCCCAAGGAGGACTAGGGCTGATCACTGGGCGCAGTTGAGAAAGGACTTGACAAGTAAGAAAGGAATAGCTGAAGAGCCAAGATAACAGCAAGGGTGGTTTAAGGGTCTGGGTAAGAAGATTCTGTCTCATCATTGGCTCCCCCTGGCCAGGGAGGAAGATGTAAAGGCCACAGTTACCAAAAAAAAGCCAACCAAAACCTTGATCATGGGCGGGGGGGGGGGGCGCAAAACAAATCCTCCCCCAGTTCATCTGTCTCCTTCAGCAAAAGTGAAAGGTTTCTCCAATATTGATGTCCCTTTGTGAGAAATTCAGACCAGCAAGTAACTGTTGCTTCTGTTCACTGCACAGAAGCCAAAATGCTCTATCTTAAACACAAGTATAATAGTGTGGACAGAGCAATGGAGATAGGAAAATAGTTGGAACCAATGTAATTGAAATTGTGACCCCCCTCCCCATGAGCCTGGAACTGTGATTGCTTCGTGTGAACCTGAAGCTGGGGTCTCCTTCAGATGAACCTGGAGTTTTGGTCCTGTCTTGTAAACCTGGAACTGTGGTTGTCTCTCATGAGCCTGGAGCTGTGGTCTCCTACCATCAGCCTGGAACTGGATATGTTTCCCATGAACCTGGAACTGTGGTTGTCTCCCCATGAGCCTGGGGCTATGATAGCCTCCTGAGAGCCTGGAGCTGTGTTCACCTCCTATGAGCTGGAGCTGTGGTCCTATCCCATGAACCCTGGAGCATCCAGGGCATGTTATGACAGTTGTTGAGCACCATGTGTGAGCCTCACAACTCCTGACAGTCTTTCCTAGTAGTATGCTTAAAGATTACACATCGCATTGGTTACTTTTCTGTTGCTGTGATAAAACACCATGACCAAGGCAACTTATTTATAAAAGAAAGAGTGTATTTGATTTGCAGTTCCAGAGGGTAAGATAAGAGTCCATGGTGGGGAGGTGTGGCAGCAGAAGTGGCCGGAGCAGAATGATGAGACTTCACATCTTCAAGCATCCGCAGGGAACAGAGAGATGACAAAATGGGACAGGGTTATCCACTCTCAAAGCCTGCCCCCAGTGACACGCTTCCTCCAACAAGGTTGCATTCCTACACCTCTGTAAATAATGCCACCAACTGGGGCCAAATATTCAAATATTCGGAGCCCGTGGGGGACATGTCTCATTCAAACCACCACACACATGATTCCTTGTTGGTAGATTGGATTTTTGGTTTATAGTTTTATAGAAAAAAGGAGGGAAATTGCTATTTTTGACTTGCTACAGACCTATAATTTGTCAAAATGCATTTCTTGATCTGTATGCTATTAATAATTTTAGAATATGTAGTGTTGTAAGTTTTCTGAATTTTATTTAACCTGATGAGTGTTTGGAAGTCATTCTATGTAATACAGTTTTCATTGGTCCATGATAACTGATAATTCTGTATCGTTTTCTCAATTGTAGTCAAGTAAAGGAGAATTGACTGCACTTCTGCATCAGCTTCAGGAGAAGGACAGGTTGCTTACCGCTCTGAAGGAAGATGCTGCTGCCACAAAGGATCGCTGTAAGCAGTTAACTCAGGTGAAGACATTCTTAGTTCAAGGGATATACTTCTGAGTCAGAAGCAATGGAAGATGTAAAATCATCCATGTTCTTGGTTTAACTATTTTTGTGTGAAAAATTTATACCCAGCAAAAGTAATTTTCTTTTAGAATTTTTGTATGGAAGAATCTCAGTCTTTCATGATCTAGTCTGTAGTTGAATTATAACTTAAAAGTACTTATCCAAAGTCTAATTTCAGAATAGCAGAAGTACTCTGAATGTTCAGAAGCACAGGGGTTAGTTTTAAGTGAATCAGATGTAGATATGTTTTCCATAGACGCACAAAACTTGTTTAAATCCAATTTATGTAGTAAATATGAAAATTTTATATTATTTATGTATGGAGAGCCTTGTGATAAATATTTATAATTTAAAAATCAACTTCTTTAAACCTTAGAACTTTAGTCTGAGAGGAAAAATCTAAATCCAAACAAACTTTCTGGACTGAGAAAACAGAATTGAAACTTTAAAGAAAATGTGATGTCTTCCTCCTGAAGTGTTTCTTCTCCACTTAGGTATGGAAGACAGTAGAGTAAATGAGCTAGCTGGTTTACAACTTCATCTAGCTACTTGATGACATCAAGAGGGAATGACTCTAAATATAAATCCTTTGTGTGCTTTTGAAGTAATTAAGAACAGTCCGTGGAAGCATGAGGTTGTTGTAAGCATGCTTCCTTACAGTTAACTTTAGTATAGTTTGATGTGAATACTTTTTTTGAAGGTTAAAAAAAAAAAAAAGTAGGTAAACATTTGGCACCTTACTGTTTCTATATACTTCCAGTGTATATGCTGCATGGAAAAATCTGACTCTGATCTTCAAAATAAAACTCATTACCTATTTAATGCTTTTAGCCACCAAGTTTTATGTGGAGTTAAACAAAGTGCAGTGCTTGTTTTGTTTTATTTTGGGACACGGTCTTATGTTCAAAACCAGGTTGCTTTTGAACTTGCTGTGTAATGGAGGAAGATGACCTCCTGACTCCACCTCTCATGTGCTGGAATTACAGAGCATACCACTATACCTGTTCTTAGTATACTGCTTTTGTATAAATAAGTTTAGTTTAGTTCTATAAAAAGAAATGTATATACTTGTTTAGTGTGTGTGTGTATGCGTATGTCGACTTTCAAATAGAAATCTAAAAATTGAAATATATGTATATAAGCTAACTCTTCATAAGCAACCATGAATTATGTAAAAGCTTAAATTTTATCAGTTTCTTTTAAACTCATACCTGAAGATAACTAAACTGCTGGGTTTTCGTGTACTCTGATATTTGTTCTAAGTTCATATCTTTGTTTTAAGATTTGAATTGGGAAGATTATTTGCTTTCTGACTTTTTTTTTTTTTTTTTTTTTTGGTTTTTTTGAGCCGGGGCCCCCCTGTCCCCAAAGCGGCCCAGAACCTCATTATGTAGCCGGGGCTGCCTTTGACCCCCCAGAGCCCCCCCTGCCTCTGCCTTCCAAGTGCTGGGACTACAGGCATGCACCACCACACCCGGCTGCTTTCTGACTTTTATGTTAGCCTTTTCTAAACTTGTTACTGTGGCCATAGCCTATCTCTTCCTCTAAGAGAGAGGTATCTTTTTATTTCCTCTCCTAGGCTCTCCCACAACCCTTTTACCGAACCCTAAAAGAAAATAAGAACTGTTTTGTTGGTCTTGGTATTGCATGCCTTTAATCTCAGCACTTGAGGAGGCAAAGCCAGCCTGGTCTATGTATTGAGCAGAGCAGCCTGTGCTACATAGTGTGACCCTGTCTCATATATGTATATGTATGTATATGTGTGTGTGTATATATGTTTATATGTATATGTATGTGTATATATACTTTTTTTAATGCAGAACAGTTATTTTTTGTTTTGGCTTGAGTTTTTTATTTATTTATTTATTTTTGAGACAAGGTCTCCCTGTAGCCCCAGCTGTGCTGGAACTCACTATGTACACCAGGCTGGCCTTGAACTCAGAAGAGATCCACCTGCCTCTTCCTCCCAAGTGCTGGGATTAAAGGTGTGCACAACCATGCCTGGTGAGATTTTTTTTTTTTTTTGAAACAGAGTCTTACTGTATAGCTCTGGGTGGCCTGGAACTCTGTGTAGACCAAGCTGGTCTACAACTCACAGAGATCACCTGCCTCTGCCTCTGAGTGCTGGGACCAAAGGTGTGTGCCACCACTCTTGGAGAAATACTTTTCTTATAACCACATTAGAGTATAAGATGTAGGGCCACTGCCTTTAATGCTTAAATCATGAAGTTGCACCTAAAATAAAAACAGATTGGTGAGGTCTGTACAGTATAATGGGAGTTTCTGTGAAGAGCAGGGGAGATGCAGAAGACTCGCTTTCTTTGTTTTTTACCCCTGACTTTGTTTTTTAAGCAAACACTGATGGCTGTAGCACCCATGATCAGTTCACTGTTAAAATGTTTTCTTGCTGTGATAAGCTTGCAATCTTTTTCATAGCAGGTTCTTCATAATTTCTTTTCTGATTTACTCTTCTAGGAAATGATGACAGAGAAAGAAAGAAGCAGTGTGGTTATAGCAAGAATGAAAGATCGGATCGGAACATTAGAAAAGGAACACAACGTATTTCAAAACAAAATGCATATCAGTTACCAAGAGACTCAGCAGATGCAGAGGAAGGTATGTTTAAATTCTTGAAAAACAAAATGAAATGTGTGTATTCATTTAGCAAACTTTTAAGTGCCTCTTTATGTGCTGGGCCATCAACATAACAATGGCTAGTTTAACTCATTCTTCATTCTTAAGTAAATAAAAATTCTGTATGAGGATAAGGTAGGGAGGTTGGAAGCAGGTAAGGAGATAAATCATAACAATAGAGGTAAGCTTTGTGTACTTTGGACCACTGGTGTTAAGAGGTGAGAAAGAAAAGAATTGATAGTCTAGTATGATATCCAGGCTATGTTAAGTCTTGAATCAACACTGTCAAGTAAGACTGAAGAAATGGCCACTGGCTATTAGAGTTACTTGCTGCAATTCTTTATTTCCTTCTCTCTAGATAGTGGCTCAGTGGGTATCTTTTAAGAATCCAGGATTGTGTTATCACTTTATGAGAAATACAGTAAAAGCTATAGGAATTGGAAGCCAGTTGGTTGGCATAAAGAAAAGATCTGGAAGTAAAGTAGGGTCCCATTTAGAGAGCCTGGTGTGCCTGGAGATTGGGCAGCCACTAAAGGAGTTTAAGCAAGCTAGAAGTTTAATTGTTCCTAATTTTAATGATACTCTGCAGCACTGTGGAGAGTAGAATAAGGAGAGGTGGAAGTCTTTTGCAGGAATTCAAGTCAGAGTAGCCAAGGGGCAAACCAGATGTCAAATCAGATGTTGATAATGAGAGGATGAGTTTGAATTTAAAAAATAGTAAAAAGAGCTAGTTGGGGCTTGATGTTGCAGTGGAGGAGGGATGGGTGACTGAGTTCTAGTTTATGTGACCTTTTAACTCTTGGTAACTTATATGCTTTTAACTTGTCTCTGTGACTGTTTTCAGGAGGTTTGATTTTTATGGGCTTTTCGATGTATCATTCATTTTCGTAATTTTAGTTAGGTCTGGATCAATTCTTAAGCACCCCCCCCCTGCTTTTTCTCCCCTCCATCTCTTGACGATGGAGGCTTGAATTTGCTTGTGAAATGAGCCCTTAATACTCCTCTTAATTGAAGTCTCTTTGAAATTGTTATTTCCATTTGCTGGCTGATCTTTAGTTCTAAAGGTGTGTACTACCTCAGCTTTAACATATATCTCATATCAAAATCTTACTGATCAAGTTGTTTTTACTTTCCAGTAATATCATTGTCTTTATGTTGAATTCTCTGACTTTTGTCTTCCTTGCCAAGTCTATAAATTGGTCTATTAACAGGTACTTTATTTATAGTTAAGGCTGGCAAACATAACGATACCTTAGCAACCTGGGACTTGCACTTGGTGTAGCTATGTATGCACTCCTTCCATGAGAATATGCCTAGCAGTCTAGTACCTTCACCTGTGTTGCGCTGCATGTATGCCTCACTTCCATAGAATAAATTTTTCCTTCTCTAACAACCTTTAGTTAAACTCCCTTTGTGTGGTCAGTTTCTATTCAAACATATTTTGGGACTGTCTGAGTATAGGAGGCCGATTCTACCTCAACTAGTTTTGGATGCGTGTGTAGTAAGGCAAACTGTGTCATCAGAGTGAATTTTAAAGGAAAAATCCTTACTTACCTTCAAATCTCTATGCATAATTCGGTGTACATATGATTAAAATTGGATGCATTATGGGAAGGGACATGCCTGGTGACCAAAGACTTAACATAATCCAAGCCTGTCAGTCAAAACAGAGAGGTGCCTATGTCTGGTCCTTTAGCAAATGACTTCCTCCTGGACCCCATAAAGTAAGACCCCAGACCGTAGCTAGGGGCTCATGATAACTTTACCTTAGGGGCCACTGCTGGCTTGCACATGTCTGATCTGTACTATAATTTTGCTTCTGAATAATGTGTCCTTACCAGTTTGCAATCTGTGTTTGTTTTTTCATTTTCTTGAATATATGCTAAGAACCTGGAAACACCAGGTCCAGATAGTGACCCTTATAGTCTAGCATTCATTCTTGGATATTTTAGTTAATTTCATACTAGAATAGTTATAGCCCCTTATTAGTATGTTTCTCATTATGTTCTAACATACAATTGGTTCCAGATTATTTTTAATAAAAATATTGCTTTGATTACTAGTCTGATTAAAAAAAGTTGTAAAATTGAGCTGGGCCTCACACCTTTAGTCCCAGCACTTGAGAGACATAGGCAGGCCGATCTCTGAGTTAGAGGCCAGCCTGGTCTATGCATAGTGAGTTCCAGGTTAGCTGAGGCTATAGGGAGACCCTGTCTCAAAAAAACCAAAGAAAAGTTTTAAAATTATTCTTCATGGCTAACAGAGTTCCAGTGTTTACCACAGAAATGTTACCAATAACAGAAAAGAAGTGAGAGGCGTTGTTGTGAGGCTGTTACTCTATCTACTGCTTCTAGTTTTTGTTTGATCCACTCCATTCCCTCATTCTGTAGCAATTTGAGACATTCTCTTTCTTCAAGTTATTGAAGAACTGATTTTCATAGCCTTAAAAAAGTGACTTTTATTAATTACCGTTATTCATGTGAAAATAAGCCAGAGAAGGGAACGCTTTTTTTATTTTTGCTTATTTACTTATAGAGGTCAAGAGATATAAATTCCATATATAGATTCTTCTAAATGCTCTGAAAAGTAGAAACAAATGTCTGTTAGCTTAATTATTAGTAAGATTATTAACAATTACTGTTTTCTTTTTTTTTTTTCTTTCCTTTTTTTTTTTTTTTTGGTTTTTTTGAGGTCGGGGTTTCCTTGCTGCCCCTGCTGTCCTGGATTCTCTGGGAAACCTGGGGTGTTTCCGAACGTAAAGAGATCCGCCTGCCTCTGCCTCCCGAGTGCTGGGATTAAAGGCATGCGCCATCACGCCTGGCTTCCTTTTCTTTTTTTGGTCTTTTTGAAACAGGGTCTCATTGTAGCCCCAGCTGGCCTAGAACTCACTATGTAGACCAGGCCTTGAACTCAAAAAGATCTGCCTGCCTCTGCCTCCCAAGTGCTGGGACTACAGGGTGTACCACCACGCCCAGCCAATAATTATTATTTTTTTCTTGAGGGAATAATTTATATACAAAAGTAAGACATACTTAGGTGACTCTAAGAGTTCAACTCATATTCTGGTTTTTGATTTTGAAATAATAGTCAAAACACTGTTATAGTAGTGATGGTAGGGGTTAGGGAAAGGGATGAATGGGAGTTACTTAAGAATTATGTTTTTGAAAGGTAAATGATGATTGTGTAACAGAATGGATATATTTAGTACCATTGAACTTTATATGTTTGAAAATTGTGGAACCAATGAGATAGCTCAGCAGGTGAAGTGCTTGCTGCCAAGCCTGATGACCTGAGTTCAGTCCCCAGGACCCACATGGTAAAGGGAGAGCACTAACTCTCTAATGTTGTCCTCTGACTTCCACACATGCTTTGGCATGTATATGCGTGCACATGTACATATATACACACGATAAATGTATCTTAAAAAAGTCCAAGATGGCACATTTATGTTGTGTGTATTTACCATAGTAAAAAGAGAGGCTTGAATATTTTTCAAGTAGATTTTTGTAGTGTCTAATTATACTTAATTTGTAACTTCAAGGTATTTGAGCATATTTATATTTATTGCATTTAAATTTTGGATAGCTAAAATTTTAATTTGGAAATACTGTTTATGTAATATCGACATTTGAAAATCAGGACAGGCCTGTTCAGTCTGAAAAAAGTCCTAAATTATCTCTTAGTTCTGAAGCTTTATATGTGTTTATTTTATATCTCAGATATGAAAGTAGTTAACAGTCTACTTACGGTTTGAGTGCTGGACAACTTAGACTTTGAATTCATCAGTAAACAATTCTTTCTTTAAATGTCTTCATATTTACTTGAATGATTCAGATTTCATTGTTTGTGCTTTTTATATAGACTTATAGTAAAATTTCTCTTAAAGGCTTTGCAAGTCTTTGTTCTCTAAATCTTACATATATTTGAAATAGTTTCAGCAAGTTCGAGAACAAATGGAAGCAGAGATAGCTCACTTGAAGCAGGAAAATGGAATATTGAGAGATGCTGTCAGCAACACCACAAACCAACTGGAAAACAAGTAAGTCTCCAAATGCTCTATTTTTAACCAAATGGCAGAGCATTTTCTCCAGTCACTAAAAGGATGCTTGTTAGTAATTGGCTAGGCTTATGTTTCATAACATTTGTTTCTAAAATGGAGTTACTTTTTTAAAAAAAATTTTATTATTTTTATTTTATGTGTATGCATATATTGCCTGCGTGTAGGTCAGTGCACCTGTGTGATGCCATGCCCTCGGAGGTCAGAAGAAGCTGTCGGATCCCCTGGGACTGGAGTTACGGACAGTTGTTAGCTGCCATGTGGGTGCTGGGATTCAAACCCGGGTCTTCTGCAAGAACAGTCAGTGTTCTTAACTGCCCTGTAAAATGGAGTTACTTTTAAGAACAATTTTCTTTCATTGTGTGAAGAACTTTAGCTATATTTAAACTGTAAATATTATAGACGAAAGTTATGCTAAATATTACTGTTACCAGTACGTTTGTTTAAACCATCCATCCCCTAATATAGTAGTTCTCTAATTTCATTATTCTGAGGATCACCTGGCATTCCAATTACAAAAGAATATTCTACCTCTAAAAGATTATGATTCAGTGACCCTTAGGTGGAGCACAGCTGGTTCTGGGCCATTTGAGAAACCATATCCTAGAGATACCAGTAGTGTGTTTGCACAAAGCTTATTTATTAGAATTAGCAATGTCTTCTCCCTTTGCGCAACAGGAAACATCTACAAAAATGAACTGGTTGGTATTAGGTTTTTTTTTTTTTTTTTTTTTTTTAAATCTTAAAAATTCTTTTTTATTTATTATTTTTATTTTATGTGTATGTGTGTATTGCCTGCAGGTAGGTAAGTGTACCCATGTCGTGCAGCGCCCGCAGAGGTCAGAAGAGGCTGTCGGATCCCCTGGTACTGGAGTTACAGACAGTTGTTAGCTGCCATGTGGGTGCTGGGATTTGAAACCCGGGTCTTCTGCAAGAACAACCAGTGTTCTTAACTGCTGAGCCACCTTTCCAGCCCCCGTATTAGTTTTTTAGGAGAACAGTTTGACAACAGCCCTTTTGATTGATGCTCCTAAGTTTGTGATCACCCATTTATCTTGTCATTTTACAGTGATTTTTAAATTAAAAAGAATTAATTTATTATGCTATGTGTACATATAATGTGTGGGTGTGAGTGCAGGTGCATGTGTGCCACAGCATATGTGCCATAGTGTATGTGTGGAGAACACTTTTAGGAGTCGGTTCTTTTCTTCTACCATGGAATCTGGACATTGAACTCAGGCCATGAGGTTTGTCCAGCAGGTGCTTTTACCCACTGAGCCATCTTGCCAGCTCTGTATTGACTTTTAGAACTTATGATCATCATTAGAATTATTTTATTTATTTATTTTTTTGAGAGAGGGTCTCCTAGCCCCAGCTGACCTGGAACTCACGTAGACCAGGCTGGCCTTGAACTCACAGAGATCCGCCTGCCTCTGCCTCCCCAGTGCTGGGATTACAGGCCAGCCATCATTAGAATTATTGAGGAATTACACTAAATTGAACATTATTAATAATCTCTTGTGTTCCTTTACATTTGGCTATAAATAGAATTATTAGTTCAGTAAAACTAACAGAAAATATGTTGTGTTTATGTATTCTTTTTTTTTCTTTTTTCTTTTGAGACAGGGTCTCACTGTGTAGCCCTGGCTGGTTTGGAATTCACAGAGATCCACTTGTCTCTGTCTGCTGAGTGCTGGGATTAAAGGCATGCACCACCTTGCTTGACTGTATTTATGTTTTGTTTTTTTTTTTTGGTCTTTTTGAGACAAGGTCTCCCTGTAGCCCCAGCTGTCCTGGAACTCACTATGTAGACAGGCTGGCCTTCAACTCCCAAGTGCTGGGATTAAAGGCGTGCGCCACCACACCTAGCACCTAGCTTTTATGTATTTTTTATGTGTGCTTACAATAGTTGAATGTTCTTAATCGAGTCAAGTTGCTGTTTTCAGGCAGTCTGCAGAACTTAATAAACTGCGCCAGGATTATGGAAGATTGGTGAGTGAGCTGAATGAGAAGACAGGCAAGCTACAGCAAGAGGAAGTCCAGAAGAAGAGTGCTGAGCAAGCCGTCACCCAGCTGAAGGTGACGCATCCTTGATTTACCACATACCCAAATCCATGTGTGTAGGTTTGAGAATTAGTTTAAAGTTTAATGAGAACCATACTCTATGCCTACATAGAAGTGTGTCCTGATAACAGAATTGAATGTAGGCTTGACTTTGAAGCTAAAGATTTTTTGAAAAGATGAAAAATGAAATTAGTTGTCATTGGTAGAATTTCATTTTCTATATGGTGATAAGCGTCTACATCTGTGAAAATCACTTAGTTAAAAAGTACCTTTAACATTTCTTTTATCATCATGCATAACTTGAGTTTCTCAGTAAGCCAATAGAACTCTTCCCCCATCATTCGAATAATCTTGATTGAACACAAGACCAAGTGCTGCTCCAGTGGCTTGCCCTTGAGCCATGGTATGCAAAAAATCATACTGTTTTCAGATACCAGAATGACCCTGGGCATAATGGGTTATGTAGATGTGAAGAGATGCATGGGGTTGCTCAGGCTGAATGAAGGAGGAGATGATTCATTCTCTCATCCACCATGTACTCTGGAATATATGCATGTTGAAAGGAATGATATAATTACCTTCTCCTTTTATTGAGGGAAGAGATTTACCAAACTACATAGTTCAATTTATGGAAGTTAAGTAGAACCTCACTTTGTTAGCTCCCTACGTACATCACCAGTGCAGCATACTATTCCAGAGTGGTAGAGGTTTTTAAGACTTTGAGAATAGCATTATAATTGTATATAGAAAGTAACATAACTTTCTTAAGTTTTCTTGGATCTTTTGGAAGAGTAACATCTGTGTCTTTAATACTGATTTTGTAAGTGGATTTATTGCTGACATTTATAGAGAAATGTATCACCTGTAGATGGGATAAACAAATATAAATGGCATTAAAATTAATGATGATATTTAGAATGTTGTACAATATATATACCTTAAAATAAACTTTTAGATACTCATTGAGATTTAGTAACAAAGATATCACCTTGTCTCTAGAGGCTTATCAGCTTAAGAATGATTAGTAGAAAGCTGGTTGTAGCTAAGTGGATCAGATCTGGACATGGTACTAGCTGTCTTCCAATAGTACAAACAATTGAGTTCCTGAAATACTGGAGGAAATGATAGATGTGACCGATAAACAAATGGCTGCCAGACCGTGCATAGCTGTCTGTTTTATTACCATGTAGGAGACTAGTGGTATATGCAGTTTTATGACTGTATGAACAGAAAAAACTTTTTTCTCTTTTTAATGTGGAAGTGTTGTGTTTATGTTGAGTTTTTTTCCTCTCTTCCCCCTTTCTCACCTTTTAAGGTTCAATTACAAGAAGCTGAGAGGAGGTGGGAAGAAGTTCAGAGCTACATCAGGAAGAGAACTGCAGAGCACGAGTCAGCACAGCAAGGTACAGGAAGAGGCATTCATGGAGATTGGAAGATTTCCTCCCTTTCTGTTTGTAAAGAAAGCTTATTTGGTATTTTAGCTACAGCTGAATAAAAATAACTTTTGCCCTCTCAGATTATCTTATTTTGTTAACATTTGTTAGGGTTTTAAAACTAAGCAACCTACTAGCTTTGCCTGAAGCCTTATTGTAGGCAACATTATATTACGTATAGGGAAATAAGAATATAGCTGAAGCTCTTCTGTCCTGTAGCTTCTTCCTTTGGTTTTCTTAACTAACTCTTAATGTCATTAAAGAGGAAGCTAACTTGAATGTACTTCCATATAATAGGAGAAATAGAATTGTGACTTATCAGACCTTTGTTTTTCTCTATTGTTCCTCCTATAGAATATCCCTCTGTTCCATGCTCACATGTACACAAAATACTTTTACTTCTACTTTTAAAATATTTTATTATTTTTAGTTTATGTGTATGAATATTTTGCCTACATGCATGTACATGCACCACATATGTACAGTGCCCCACAGATGCCAGAAAAGGGTGTCGAATTCAGTCCCTGGAACTGGAGTTATGTACAGTTGTTAGCCACCATGTGGGTGCTGGGAATCAAACCTAGGTCCTCTAGAACAGCCAGTGCTCTTAACTGAGGAACCATCTCTCCAGCCCCTACTTTTAAGCTTGTACTTTTATATAAAGTTTTGTATTTATGTTAAGATACATAACTTATTTAGCATTCTAATATTTTGTATTTCATCAGTAAAACAGAAATCTTGCTAGAACGACTGTAACTATAAACTGAGTAGTTACAGACAGTAAAACTTTATTCTTGCCTAAAGCATTCCCTTTGAATTTTGCTTTTAGTGTTTTACCACAGATTTCTGTATAATCACTGTGCCCTAACTGATTATGCCATTAGAGCTTGAGTGTTTTACTCCGTATTTCTAAACAAATGTATTGATACTGCAAGTGTTACTTCTTGGTCGAAACTGGCTTTCCTGTTATAGAAAGTAAGAGCTTCATTCCCACCTGCCTCTCGCTGTCCTGATATGTTGTTGAATATGTTTTTATTATATCAGTATTCATTTTTTTGTCGTTGTGTCTATAATGGAGTGCTGTACCAAGATATGTTAAAGCTGTGATATCTTTCCTTTGCATTACTTATTTTGTGAAGCTAATTATTCCCTTATGTTACCCTTGCTTGATCTTATTTTACTTTTAAAACTTTACCTGATGCTAAATTCTCTAGCCTACTGCTGCTATGTGCTGCCCCTCAACACAGTAGTTGCTCGAGACAGAGTCTTCCTGGCATTCCCTAGTGCTGCTCTCTCAAAGCCTTGGCATTCCTGTGTTAGTTCTCCTTAGTGTCTAGTTTCTAGGGTGGCTCCATGACTCTCGATGGATAAATATGGCTGTCTTCTGAGACTGACTTTTGTCTCTCTTCCCTTCTTTTTGATTACTTCCTTTTTCCCCCCTTTTCTCCTTAAGAGTATATTTTTTTCTTTTTAAAAAATATTTAAATTTTTGTGCATTTCATACAGAACATCTTTTTATCCCCTTCCCCCATGCCCCCCCATTGGAATTCATACATTGTCATTTGTGTTAAGGCCTATCATGTCAAGTTAGTGTCTCCAGATGTCCTTTAGTGCAAGTTCATCCAATGAGGTCTAGTCAGCTTATCTAGAGTCCTTCTTTTTAAGATCAGTTCTTCCTTACTGAGCAGTAATCAGCTGCCAATAATTGTTTGACTAAGATTGGGGCCTGCTGTCCATTTCCACAGTTGTGTGCTGGGTTTTTGTCTGCTTAAGTTTGCATGGGTCTTGTGCATGCTGACACCATTGATGTAGGTTCACATGAGAAGGGTCTCAGGAGCCTGCAGGACTGTATTTGCATATGGTTATGCACCTCCTCCCTGGCTCTTAATAATATTTCTGCCCCCTCTTCCACAATGGTCCTTGAGCCCTGGGTGGGTAGATTTTAATATAGGAGTCCTCTTCAAAGACCCATACTCTGTAGACTCTTATTCTCTGTGTTTTGGCCATTTGTGATCTTCTCTGTTTCTGACCCCCTGTTGCATGAGGGAACTTCATTGATAAGAAGTGAAAGATACATTAGTGTACTCTTCATCCCTTGTTCTTTGTTCCATGAGCCTTAGGTGTAGAGGTTCCATCGTAGATGTGCCACTTAGGCTTGGGCAATTCACAGACAAGCTCTGTGTGTGACCATTTGTGGAACTCTGTAATAGTCTCTGTTGAAAAAGTAGCTTCTTTGATGGGTGGTGACTGGGTTACTTGTCTGTGGAGGCACTTTTATCTTGGGGGAAATCAACAGCTACCTAATTGGAATTAAAGCTCACTCAGTGGGAGGAAACTCATGTGTGGTACTGTAAACCTAGTCAAATATACATAGGTGGAGAGGTGATAGATCTTAAAGAAAACCCCAGGGCTGTCACATCTCTAGACAAATATAAATTATTTTTTTTTGTCTTTTTGAGACAAGAGTCTCCCCATAGCCCCACCTGGCTTGGCACTTGCTATATAGACCAGGCTGGCCTTGAACTCACAGAGCTTTGCTTGCCTCTGCTTCCCAAGTACTGGGATTAAAGGTGTCCACCACCATGCCTGGCAACAAATGTAATTTCTTACTATGTGCAAAATATGAACCCTTAAATTTACACCTTCTTTTGGTTAACTGGGCTAAGGGTCTGTTTTATCTTGTTTATCTTTTCAAAGAACCAGCTCTTAGATTTGTGGATTCTTTGTGGGTTTTTCTTGTTTCTATTTCATTAATTTCTGCTCTGATTTTTGTTATTATTTCTTGTCTGCTGGGTTTGGGTCTCATTTGTTCTTGCTTTTCAGGTGTCTTGAGTTGCCATGTTAAGTCATTTATTTGTGTTCTTTATGATTTTTGAATGTAGGCACTTAGAGCTATAAACTTCCCTCTAAGAACAGCTTTCAGCGTGTCCCAGAGGTTTTGTTGTGTTGTATTGTCCTTTTCATTTAGTTCCAGGAATACTTTTATTTCTTTCTTAATTTCTCCTTTGACTCGGTCATCATTCCGGAGTGTGGTGTTTAATCTCCATGTGTTCATGGAGTTACTAGGGTTTCTTGCGGCGTTGATTTTAAGCTTTATTGCATTGTGGTCTGATGGAATGCATGAAATTATTTCATTCTTTTTGTATTTTTTGAGGTTTGTTTAGTGCCCTAGTATATGGTTGATTTTGAAGAAAGTTCTATGGGCGCTGAATAGAAAGTATATTGTTTGGTGCTTGGGTAGAATATTTGGTAGATGTGTGTTAGGCCCATTTGATGTATGGCGTTGTTTAATTCAAATGTCTCTCTGTTAATTCTCTGTCCTGATGACCTATCTAATAGAGACAATGGGGTATTGAAGTCCCCTGCTATTAATGAGTTGGGATTAATCTGGGTCTTAAAGTCCTGTAGTACTGTTTTTATGAAGTTTGGTGCACCAGAGTTTGGTGACTGATTCTGTGTTCATGATTGTCATATCTTCTTGGTTTATTGTTCCTTTGATCAGAATGAAGTGACCCTCTTTATCTCTTCTGATTAGTTTTAGTTTAAATTCTATTTTATCAGATATTAGACTTGTAATGCCTGCTTTTTTCTTAGTACCATTTGCCTGGTATATTTTTTTCCATTCTTTCACCTTGAGGTAGTGCCTGTCCTTGAAAGTGAGATGAGTTTCTTGCAGGCAACAAAAAGATGGGTTTTATTTCTTAATCCATTCAACTAGTCTGTGTGTTTTGACTGGGGAATTCAGTCCTTGATATTTTAAGTTGTTAATGAAACATGTGTATTGATTCCCTATTTTGTGTGTTTCTATTACTATGCCTTTTTGTTGTTTTCTTTATTTAGCCTTTTGGGTGTACTCATTCCTTTCTTCAGTCCTTTGTATTGCTTCAAGGATTCTCTGAAGGGCTGGTTTGGACGACATGAATTCTTTCAGCCTATTTGTGTCATGGAAATTTTCATGCTCCCTTTCAGCCTTGATAGATTGTTTTGCTCGATAAAATATTTGGGGTTGGCATCCACGGTTATTTAGAACTGGGAATACTTTATTCTAGGGTTTTCTGGCTTTCATAGTTTGCAATGAAAAGTCAGCTGTAATTCTGATGGGTTTTCCTTTATATGTGACTTTTGCAGCTTTCAGTATTCTCTCTTTGCTCTGTACGTTTACTGTTTTTACTATGATGTGCCATGGAGAGTCTCTTTTCTGGTCCTGTCTGTTTGGTGTTCTATATGCTTCTTGTATTTGTATGGGCATGTCTTTTTTTAATTTTGGGAAATTTTCACCTACAATCCCCTTGAAGATCTGTTCCATACCATTATCCTGAGATTCTTGTCCTTCCTGTATGCCTATGATTTATAAGTTTGATTTTTTTATGGTGTCACACAATTCATGCATATTCCATTCTTGTGTTTTCTTAAATTTTTCATAATCTTTGCTTGAGTGGTCTAATTCAACCACTTTGTCTTCCAGTCTTGATATTCTGTTTTCCATTTCATTCGTACTATTGGTGAGGCCTTCTCCTGTCGTTTCTAATTGGCTTACTGAATGTTTCACTTGCTTCTTCATTTCAGCCTGAGTCGTCTTCAATATTTCCAATTCTTTTCTGAATTTATTCAGAAGTTTATCCCTGTCTTCTTTCAGTTCTCTGTGTGTTCTTTAAATTCACTGAATTCTTTTATCATGTTTATAATTGTTCTTTTGAGTTCTATGTCCTGTGTTATCTCTTGGGGGTTCTCATTGTGTTCCTCTACAAGACTGTTGGTACTTGGTGGGAATATATTATTTTGGTTTTTCATGTCATTATTTTTTCTCTGTGACTTTGACATGTGGATTTCTTTTGTACTTTCTGATTCTTGTGTGAGCCTCAAGCCTTCCTTTGTTGAGTTTAGGTCTGCTTCTTTTTTGTAAACTTTATGTGCCTTTGTGGTTTACTTGTTGGGCATGAAAAGCTGATTGGTCTAGGCTTCAGGCTCTCTCTTTTGATTTTGTATTGGAGTGGCCTCTTGCTGCTCAGGAGTTCCCACAGAGGCCCAAATCAGATGAGGATCAGATGGCTCTCAGGCATTCTCCTAAGGTCTGGATCCCTCCAGGAAAGATGCTGGCCTCAGGAATTTGGGAACTGGGCTGGCCTTGGAGCAGGGCCCAGGAAAGATGCTAGCCCCAGGAAGCTGGTGGCTGTGCCGCCCAGGGATGCAAAGGGAGGTGGGGACAGGAACAGGCCCAGAGGGCTCCTGGGGACTACAGGGTAAGGTCTGGATGCAAAGGATCAGGTAGCAGTGTGGATTCTGGGCCAAGAGGTCAGTCCAGTGGTCTGGGGTGCCAAGACAAGAGATGGGCCAGTACCCAGGCTAGGAGGAAAGATGGATTGGGGGAGCTGGGAGAGTGAATGAGGCTGGGGGAGTCTAGGTGCTATGGGCACTACTCAGTTTACCCAGGAAAGATGCTGACCTCAGGAAACTGGTGGCCGTGCCGCCCAGGAATGTAAAGGGAGGTGGAGGAGAGCAGTTTATACATCTTAATTTCCTTGTTCGGGGGCACATGTTGTCTCTAGGAAGGAAGTAGATAGAAAAGTTATCCTTCATTTAAATCAATTAAGTGACATTTTAAATATCAGCTTTTAGATAATAAATTTCTTTGGTGTGTCTGTGTAGCAGAGTTCAGGGAATTTATAAGAAGTTTGTTACAACTATTAAGGTATTGGGGAGATAAAGAGTGCTTTCAAGAAATGGTTGAACCATTTTTAAAAACCTGTGTACCATTCAGTTAATGTATTTATTGAATATACAATATGTGCCAGGTATTGGGGACAGCTTTGGTTATAGAGGAAAACCAATTTCTGATCTCAGAACTCTCTCTAGGAGGATAGTGATTACTACAGTGTGGGAGGTGCTATAGTAATGGGAAAATGAGCTGCTGAGAGACGATGTAGGAGGGGAAGTGAAGAGATTCATGTAAATCAGTCTCTAGAGAAGCTGATGCATATGCTGAAGATAAAACAGGCAAAAGAAGAGGCTTTTGTAAGATGGAATATTTTTGCTACAGATTTACAGAGTAAATTTGTGGCCAAAGAAAATGAAGTAAGAGTCTGCATAGTAAACTTACAGATACCTTGGTATCAAAACAGCAGTTGGAACAAAGGCTAATGCAGTTAATGGAATCGGAGCAGAAAAGGGTGAACAAAGAAGAGTCTCTACAAATGCAAGTTCAGGTATTTTTTCTTTCTTTAATAAAAGGAATTAGAGTAAGTGGTGTATCTAGAGGAGTGAGCAAGGTTTATCTTGCTCTAATTCTTAACGGTGCTAAGTTATAATTTAATCTTTTGAGCTCTTATCCTAGCATGTTATGTTTAAAGATGAGCTCATCCACTGCCTTAGGGCTTCTGTGGTAGATCAAGAACAGTGAGACACAGCCTTAACTTCTACCTTGTAAATTAATTCAATATGAATACCTAATTGTTGTTTTAAAGAATGCCATTTGGAATTAGAGACACTAAAGATAAACTGAGAACCTATGAGTCATTGTGTTTATATCCATTGAGATATTTATTGATAGTGTATCTTCCCCTCCCCCTTCTGTTTTCTGTTTATGAAAGGATATTTTGGAGCAAAATGAAGCTTTGAAAGCTCAGATTCAACAATTCCATTCCCAGATAGCTGCCCAGGTAATGATGCTTTTTCATTGCTTACCATTAATAATAGCTCTTTAGTCGGTTAATCATCTGAATGCCCCTGGAGTGTCAAACATTGGATTAGAAGTTGGGAGACTAGTCAACAAGTAATGGTCCTGGGTTCCAAACACTGAATACTATGTATAGTGTTTTGGGAAAACGCTAATATATCCAAGTCCAAGTTAGTGGAAAGGAGTAGGTCAGAGAGCTCTTCACATGTGAGTAAACATCCTCCCAGTTCTGCCACAGAACAAAAGGAACTGGTCAAGTTGTATCTACAATAGTGGTTGATGTATTAATAAAGGTGTTTACAAAGTATTGACTGACCTTGGAAAAACCTCATCTACCCACAGAGGGTAGCAGTGTAACCATATATCTCAGGTTATATTTGCAAAAGTTATAAAATTTATATGTCAATTTAGTTATTGGCAAATGCTGCAGAGTTTTAAAAGACGATATTGTAATACCTGGTGTTCTTTAGCAGCATTGCTCTGTGGCTTGATTGGCTAATAGATTTTAGAGTATAAATGACAATAACATTCAGAAGAGACGTGAAAACTTTCAAGTACTTATCTCCATAATATACAGCCTATAAATTTTAGGTTCACTTCAATTTTAAAATTATAAAAGTTTGTAGCAACAGATATTAGAAATTTGACTCTTTTTGCATAAAAATTGTTTCAACATTAAACGTTTATTTTAAGGTATAGAAGTTCAAACTCCCAAAGCTTTGTACACATAAATATTTTTTTCGTAGTTGCTTTCTTTGTAAAGTTGATAGTCTAAAATTAGTTATGAGAGAAATATTTAATATAGGAAAAAGAGGTTGTATGCTCATATGAATTATCAGCTCAGATTGGATTGAGATCTTTAGCTACCAGCTGAGAGTTAGTGCTACAAAATTTTTCAGAAATTCCTTAAAAAATGCGATAAATAATAAAGCGATCATGAGCATTATCTTAATTATCTTAATCATTAGTTAATTAGTTCAAAAGTTTTCACTGAGGAAAAGAAACACCGGTGTAAAATGGCCTTTTTGGCTGTTTTTTGTTGTTGTTGTTTTTCTCTCCCCTTATGTATTTGTTGCTTGTTAGTTTTGTAGTTTCCAAGCCTGTCAACTTGCTTGATTCTTAATATTTTATGATGTGTAATTTTCTAATACTGGCTTCTGGTGATCAGTCAGTGCTTTCCAAATGGTATCTATTCTTTACTGAACATTCCTCATGGGCCAGATACTTCTTTAACAACTTTTTATTTAACTTCTCTTAGTTTTTAAAGTTCTGTTGTGATTATTGTACAGCTTGAAAGCTTTTTCTCAAGTGCTCTTATGTTAATAATGTTTTTCTTTCTTAGACCTCCGCTTCAGTTCTAGCAGAAGAATTGCATAAAGTGTAAGCCTGCCATTCCACACTTCTCTTATAATTGTGTAGTCACCACTAACAAATGTTTGCTTGATATATCACATAATTAACTTACACTCTGACCTGTTTGGAAAATACTCTGAACTCCATCTGGAACTCCATTTGGAGTTACTTACGTTCTTTTCATTTAACTTGTGTGTATTGAGCCCTTAAACGTTGCACTTCTGTTTTCGTGACTTCATCATGAAAGAGTTGGGAAAACTTTCCCTCTTTGGCAGTTGTTTTGGAGTAGTGCAAGTAAATTAGTTTTTGTCTCTTCCAAGTAGTTGTATCTCCTCTGTGTCTAGCTATGTGATAAAGATTGTATATTCAAAATAAAGTTTTGTGTGGTATAATTTAAAGATACAGATCAGTGATCAGTTTTATTCTGAGGGCCTAAAATCTGGTTTTGATATTGCCAGACTTGTCAACTTAAATTAGTTTCTTTGACCCAAGTTTTAAAACACAGACCTGTCTTTCTGTGTATCTATCTGGACATTTATCTATGAATATCTGTCTGTCTGTCTATCATCTGTCTATCATCAGACAGTCAATCATATCTCTCTAAGCATCTGGGAGTCAAGATCTCATTCTCTAGCCTAGACCAGCCTTGAATTTGTGATGATCTTGCCTTAGCTTCCTGAATGCAGGCATGAGCCAACATGTCTTACCATAATTAGGGGATATTTTGAGCCAGTGAGATGGCTCAGCAGGTAAAGGCATTTATCCCCAAGCCTTATGATCTAAATTTGATTCCCCGGGGCCACTTGGTAGAAGGGGAAAATTGACTCTTGCAAGTCTCTAAAAAGAGAAAGTATGACTATATGAAAAACTTAAGATGATCCTTTCTATGTGCAACTTGTAATCCTTTAATTTATAAAAGCTTATTGAAAGCATAAACATATTTCTTTTTAAAGGATTGCAGAAAAGGACAAGCAGATAAAACAGACTGAAGATTCCTTAGCCAGTGAACATGATCACTTAACAAGTAAAGAAGAGGAACTTAAGGTACAGTAATTCTTATGAATTGCTTCGGTATTTTATAGGACTCAAAATTGAATTAATTACCCTGATGCTTATAGTCAGTATAAGAGTAATCAAGAATGGGAACCTCTAAAACTCATTTGAAAAGTGCTTTCTCTTTTCCTGAACTATAATTACTTTTTTAGCTAAGAGGAAAAATTCACAAGAGCTTTTCTCACATGACACAAAACATTCTGATTTAGGAAATTTGTAATTTGACAACTTACCTCTTAAGTAGAACAGATAACTGTAAAAGTCAGTTTTATTAGGTATTTCTAATACAGTGTACTTTCTAAATTTTGATCTAGGATATACAGAATATGAATTTCTTACTAAAAGCTGAAGTGCAGAAATTACAGGCCCTGGCTAATGAACAGGTAGCTCTTTATTGCTTTTGCGCATTTACCTCAGAAGTTTGATTTTCCTATTCTTGTTTTATTGATGTTGTAAGCCCCAGTTTTATATCAGTAATACCTGTGATGGTTACTTATGTTTGGCTGTAGGATGTGTTGTTGAAAGCTTCCTCTTCACAGACCACTTAGATGTTATATGGGAATCAGTGTTTAATTGGTTGTTTCTGAGATAGCAGAGGATTTATTTGAAGCAATTTGTATGTGCTGCCTGTTTCAGCTTTTTCTATTTCATCTGTATATAAAGAACAAACCTTTTGTTAGGGTAAAAGTTGACCTTTGAGAAGTAAAAAATTATGTCCAACAAAACTTAGCATTGAAATGCATAATATTGCTATAGTTTTAATCCAAGTGTATGAAAAGAAGTTTTTAATATGAGTAAATAAGAAAAAGGATAATTTTGACTGCTTCTTGAACTGATAAAATTCTCATTTTATTCGAAATACAGGCTGCTGCAGTACATGAAATGGAAAAGATGCAAAAAAGGTGATTAAAGTGTTGGACATAGAGGCACTGAGTAACGTAGACCCATGTGTAATTATTACCCCCCCAATACTGCCTATAACTGACAGTTGTGGAAGTAATTTATGTAAACTTTGAGTGTATGAAATATTTTAAATGAATATTCTTTTTCTCATAGTATTCATGTTAAGGATGATAAAATAAGATTGTTAGAAGAGCAACTACAGCATGAAATTTCAAACAAAATGGAAGAATTTAAGGTATGTGATTAAGCTTGCACACTTTCTTAAAACAGCTTCATATGATTTTAGTTAAATCTAGAAGTACTTTTCTTTTAGCTTTTTAAAAATTATTTTTATTTTACATGTATCTTAAGTACATCCATGTCATGCAGTGCCTGAGGAGGTCAGAAGAGGGCTTCCAATCCCCTGGAACTGGAATTTTGGACGATTGTTAATGACCATGTGGGTGCAAGAGCAGCCAGTGCCCTTAACCCCTGGGCTAGTTTTCTAACCTCTTATTTTTAGTTTTTAAAAATTTATTTATTTTATGTATATGAGTGTTTTGCCCGTAGAGGACAGAAGAGGGCATCAGATTCCCTGGAACTGGAGTTATAGACAGCTACCATGTGGGTTCTGGGAACTGAACTTGGGTCATCAGCCTGTACTCTTAACTGTTGAACGAACTCTTTAGCCCCTAGAAGTACTGTTTTTTATATAAAGTGACTCTGAATTATTATTTCCTTAGTTTACTTGGTGGCTTATGTAAACAGTGATTTTTTTTTTTCATAGACTTTTTACCTATATTGTACCTTATATGTCCCTAAAGTAAACTTTTGAGATTTATTTTGCCTCAACCTTTTTAAACTAGTTTTTTGTTTGTTTGTTTGTTTGTTTTGTCTTTTGGAGACAGGGTCTCCCTGTAGCTCCAGCTGGCCTGGAACTCGCTATGTAGACCAGACTGGCCTCAAACACAGAGATCCACCTGCCTCGCTGCCTCTTGAGTCCTGGGACTAAAGAACTGTGCCACCATGCTTGGCCTTATACTAGTAGTTTTATTTTGTGACTATTTTATCTCTCTACACTATTGCTATAGTTCTCATGCCTGGTCATGGCCAACCAGTTTGAGTGTCTGATTACCCGAGTGTGGCTCTGACCTTTGAGATCTGGATTTTTATAGCAGGATGTGGCTTCTTTGTTTCTTTATGAATACTTAAAGCAATAATACAGATTTTTTTTTAACCTCTTAAAAATGATAAATTGTTGAGATTCTTTCTTTCAGATTCTGAGTGACCAAAATAAAGCATTAAAATTAGAAGTTCAGAAGCTACAGACCCTTGTTTCTGAACAGGTAAGACTTTTCATGAATTACAATGTAGAAATATCCAATGTATAGGAAGGTTTAGCTCTTAATTAGAAAACTAATAGAGAAATTTGCTTAAAGTTAGATATATCTTTTAATTACCTTCTTGTGCCTATCATGTTTCAAAATTAAAATTTTGTTTCTCTGAGATGGAGCTAATACTAATCTGCTCTAACTCTTTGCCAAAAAAGAAAACAAAACAACAACAACAACAAAAAAGCCTGTCTTATTTTTGTGGCATTAACTTTTTCATGCACACAGTATGGTTTCTCAAAAAAGAGACTAGGTTTGAAACTTACTAATATCTTTAAAATGCTTTACATTTCTAATTCCTCTTACTCTGTCTTTAACATCAAGAGTATACTTAAAATTTTCTTTGAATGGTAAAGCTTGTGTATATTGCTCAGCCTAGTGGTTTGCTTATAGCCCACATCTAAATCATTCCTTCTTTAGAATGTGCAGTTTTCTTCTGTGTCATCCTCTTCCCCTAACACTATCACTCTTCTTTCTATATTTATAGCAAGCCAATAAAACTGTAGCAGCTGGGAATGGCACTGCTCCTTAAGCCAGCATCCAGTGGTGTCTTTTCTCTGGTGTTTCCCAAGTATTACCTTCATACTTTTCTTATACACAGCTGTTCATATTACAATTACAATAATTATCTTTATTTTATGTGTATGAGGGTATTTCCTGCATGTATATAAGTGTACCTGTGTTGTATAGTGCCTGCATAGGTCAGACAAGGGCCTTGGATCCCCTAGAACTGTAAAGTATTCTAGGAATTGGCGAGGTGACTCAGTGGTAATGTTGCCTGCTGCCATGCCTGAAGACCTAAGTTCAGTCTCCAGAACCTACATGGTAGAAGGTGGAGGAGATCAACTCTACAAGGTGCCCTCTAACCTCTATGTGTGCACCATGGCACATTGTGTCCTTTCTGTACCCCGCCCCCAGCCCCCAAACCATGTGAGTTCAAGGGATTGAACTTAACAGGTCATCAGGTATAGTAGCAAATGACTTAATTAGTCCGAGTCATCGAGACTAGAAATACTGAATCTTTTCTTAATTATCGTTTTAGTAAAGTATGTTAACAACAACAAAACCAAAATAAAATCTTTTAAACTTCTGTTCTTCACTCAAACTGATATTCCCCATCATTGAAACTGAAACCACCAGCCTGAAATTTTCGATTCAGATCCTGTGATTAATTGGTTTTATATTATCTTACACAAAATTTTAAATCACATTTTTAGAAATGAGTACTTTGGAAAAAAAATTCTTCCATGTTACCAAATCAACTTTGTATATGGTACATTTTGTAACATTCTGTATATGACAGCTGTTAGTATGAGGTAGCATTTTCTTAGATTCTTAGAACCTGATAAGATGGGAAGCTAAAATTGTGGGATTAATTTAGATCTACTATTGGGCAGTTCTTAAATTTGTTCTTTAGTTTAAAAAAACATAATTTATACACAAGGACTATTTTTTCCTTTTTTTAAAAAAAATTGGGAATGTGATTGATACCTTTCATCTTAGCAAACCCATAAAACCTTTTATTTTCCTTTCGGGTCTTTTTATTTTTAATTTTTTATTACATTTATTTATTGTGTGCATGTGTATGGGGGGAATGCATGGTGCATGTGCCATGGTGCATGTGTGGAAGTCAAAGGACAACTGCAGGAGTCAGTTTTCTTCTTCTACCACATGAAATGAAACAGGTTGTCAGGCTTTGAGGCAGGAGTCTTACCCTCTGAGGCATCTTACCTGCCCGCTTGCCTTTTTCTGTAGTCATGTACAGAAGAGTACCCTCTACCCCCCCCGCCCCCATTTATGCCTCTGGTGGAAAGTCCACACTCAAATATGGATGCTGTGACTTCCCCTTCAGCCGCACAAAATGGCAAGAGAGGTGTCTTGCAGGTGCCGGCCGGCCAAGACGAATAGCACCTGAAAGGGAGGGGGAGTGAGGATGAAAGAAAAAACAAGAGACAGAGAAAAGATACTTGGGAGGACTGTCAGTAGAGACTGCAGCCCCGGTTTATTTTAGCTCAGCCTTCTTATACAGTAGAATCAATTTGCTTAGCTCAATTAGCTTCAACAGCTGTTTTTTCCCACCTTTATCTGAGGATCAAGGAACGGTCAAATACTTGTTTTGAATTCCACCGTTTAACCATCTTTCCTAAATTATCAACATATTCCTCCTAACTTGGCAGAACAATTTGGTACTGGTGTGCAAAACACACAAACTCTTGAGTCAAGGTGAAAGATCATAAATTAAACAAGCAAACCTGCCACAGCTCAATATACATAATGGCTGTGCCTATACTAATAGCTCCCAACAGTGTCTCATGGGCTTATATATCCTTAGCCCTTCCCCACTCAGCTAAGGTCGACTGATTGGGTGGGAGGGGTAACTGACTCCCCCATTGACTCCTTGACAAACATGGGAAGGAGGTGTGACTACAGCTTGCCAGCATAGTGGTCGGAGGACACTTCCAGTTATCACTCCACCCCTTCCTCTTACATTCTTTGCACCAACCTCTTTTGCAAAAGTCCCTGAGCCTTGGAAAGGGTTATGGGTGTGGGATGTCTTCCTCCTATTGTGGCAAGGCACTGAACTTTTGGGTCTCTGCATCATCTGTTTTACATGGGCCATTGGCCCATTTCAGTGGGACTTTGTTTAACCTCTTCCATCCTACCTAGCAGTTAGAATTCCAAATGACTGTTGAGAGAGAAGCAAGTTGATGATGTAAAAAATTCAGTCTTTTTGCCAGATAGTTTTATTTTGTAGAGGAAGATTGAGCTTATTGAAACAGAAAGCAGTAATGACTCCAAGGTATAGAAAGTGGAAAGGCCACAGGTATGAGGTAAGGTAATGTGTTCAGGCACTGAAGGAAGGGAGGCTCCAATTGCTTGTAGGCTTACAGGTCATCAGATGCTGCAGATAGGTCAGTAGGACCTTAGGGGGACTGGAGAGGTGGCTTAGCAGTTAAGAGCACTTGCTGTTCTTCCAGAGGGCCTGGGTTTGGTTCTTAGCACCCACATGGCAGCTAACAACTGTCTATGACTCCAGTTCCAGGGGATCCAGCATCCCTTTCTGGTCTCCTCAGGTATTGCACACACATGGTATTTTGGGCAAAACATTCATACACATAAAAATAAATAAAAATATATTTTAAAAAGACAGTTGATTCAGGAAAAGGAGTGAGCAGAAGACCCCAAACCTATTTGGCCAGCCTGCTTAATTGCCTGAAGGTCTGAGTATCATGAGGAGGAAGTTTTCCTTCCAGACACAGTACATTTTAGCAGTGGGGTGGGATGCTTAGGACTGAAGGGTCAAGTAGATGGAGGTCAGTTTAAATCTCATATTTTAAATGCTTTATAGAGATGTATTTGTGTTACTGCTTCTACAGTTGACAAGCACTTTTAAAATAGTCTGTATTTTGGTCTGGATAGTCTTCATAATATTGACATGTTAAAAATAATCCTTAAACACAGAGTACTGGCTACTCTTGCAGAGGACCCGGGTTAGATTCCTAGCACCCACATGGCAGCTAACAACTGTCTATGACTCCAGTTCCAGGGGATCCAGCATCCCTTTCTGGTCTCCTCAGGTATTGCACACACATGGTATTTTGGGCAAAACATTCATACACATAAAAATAAATAAAAATATATTTTAAAAAGACAGTTGATTCAGGAAAAGGAGTGAGCAGAAGACCCCAAACCTATTTGGCCAGCCTGCTTAATTGCCTGAAGGTCTGAGTATCATGAGGAGGAAGTTTTCCTTCCAGACACAGTACATTTTAGCAGTGGGGTGGGATGCTTAGGACTGAAGGGTCAAGTAGATGGAGGTCAGTTTAAATCTCATATTTTAAATGCTTTATAGAGATGTATTTGTGTTACTGCTTCTACAGTTGACAAGCACTTTTAAAATAGTCTGTATTTTGGTCTGGATAGTCTTCATAATATTGACATGTTAAAAATAATCCTTTGGGGGCCGGAGAGATGGCTCAGTGGTTAAGCTGCTCTTGCACAGGACCTGGGTTTGGATCCCAGCATCCACATGGCAGTTAACAACCATCTGTAACTCCAGTTCCAGGGATCTTGTGCCCTGTTCTGACCTCCACGGACATTACACGACACAGGTGCGTTTACATTCATGCAGGCAATACACTCATACAAATAAAATAAAAATAATAAAATCTTAAAGTAATCCACTGGACTATAAGCAACAGGACTTGTACAATTGCCTCTAAATGTTAGTCCTCGGTGTGAGAAAGCAAAACAACAAACTAAACAAAGAGAAATCCTCTTTTGTGACTTGCAAGACTTTGGGGATTTAGAGTTTTGCATTTGAAGAATTGATGCAAGAGAAGTAAAGCAAATCCTGTTCTCTTCATACTGCTTTTATAGTGACTAAAAGTTATCTATGAGTTACTAGGTAATTTTGCCAGCCCCATGTACCTCTTTGATTCCTTTATGTAGATACTTCTTTCCTGCTGTGCTTCAAATAAGTAATTCTGTAATTCTTATGTCCTCAAATAAGTACTCAATTTTGGAACTGTTTAGAACCCTAAACAATTTCCACAGAGGTCTATATGTAAACTAATTTTATGTTATGCAGACTAGATAGAACTAAACCTTTTTTGATTATTTTTATTTTTAGCCTAATAAAGATGTTATGGAACAAATGGAAAAATGGTAAGAGTTTTAACTTTTTATTTTTTGATGACTCATTCCTACCAAATTGGAGATAACAGAATTCTTAATTGTGGTAATTCCAAGTTCTTATAGTGTTGTTTTGTACTTTGGTAGAAAAGAGTGTGCTGGGCCATAAATTTCCTGGGATTACCTTCTAGCTTGTGGGTGTCATGTGACCTGTTCTGGATGTCATATAAGTACACACTACCTGAGCACATTTTCCTTCTTAGTGAAGAATTACCTTCACACCATTATTGAGGATCCTCAGAAATCTTTTTAGAATTAAAAGTTCATAGTGAATGATGGCCAGAGGGTTTGATCCATGTAAAGTATTTAGAAATATTATTTATCTTGCCCAAATAGTTCATATGTATGTTTCACATTTATAATTTCAGCATTCAAGAAAAAGATGAAAAATTAAAGACTGTAGAAGAATTACTTGAAACTGGACTTATTCAGGTGGCCACTAAAGAGGAGGAACTGAATGTAAAGCATTTTGTAGACCATTTTCCTTGTGCTTATTCTGTGAATGTGAAGGGGTTTCACTGTAATTGTCTGTTTTTCATAGCTTTTAATTGCATGCCGAAAGTTCATAAAAATTTTTTTCATTTATCTTAAATGGCATTTCTTTAAATGCAGATAGTGGTAGTGTTCACTACCTTAATTAGGTGGATATTGTCAATATAGTTTATAATATATGCTACCCCTCTTGCATCCATGTTCAGATTACAACCAAATGATTATTAGCAGACAACATTGATCTATAAAATAGTATTGAGATGAGAGCAAGAAAAAGCACAATTCTGGGTTTTGGTTTATTATTAGCAATAACTAAATTAACTTGGGGTTTCTGGGAAAAGTAAATTAAAGGTATATTTGAATATATACAGGGCCATGGCTTAATTGACAAGTGATATACAATGTGCTTTTGAGAATGTTGGTATTTAAATTGAAATGTGTATGGTGATAATTGTATTACTAAACCAGTTGACTAACTGTAATGATTATAGAACGTAGTGGTTGGGGGAGGAAGGATGGAGGCTAGGCTAGCTTATTTTGAACAAGTTAATATTGCAGAAAATAAAAATAAAAATGTGTTGTGCTTATGTGTTTTTGAAAAAAGGCCATAAGAACAGAAAACAAATCCCTGACAAAAGAAGTTCAGGAGTTAAAGGCTAAGCAGAGTGATCAGGTAATGCATGCAATAGATTCTGTGAATGTTTTCTTTTTAAAAATGGGTAGAGTTGTTGCATACAATCATACCAGGGCTGGATGTGGTAGTCCATTCACACCCCCCCGCCCCTGTCTTTTTGAAACAGGGTTTCCCTGTAGCCCTAGCTGACCTGGAGCTCAACTATGTAGAGCAGGCCAGCCTTGATCTCACAGAGATCCACTTATCTCCTGAGGGCTGGGACTAAAGGCATGTACCACCACACCCTGCCTTTTAATTTTATTTTTCAATATAGTAAAAGGTTTTGACCATAGAACTATAAATCAAGCCTCACATCATAAAAGAGTACCTGAAATGAGGCAGTTTTGTAGTTTTAGTTTCTCATCTGGTTAGAATTACTAATTAAGGATCTTAAACATTCATCTAATGATTGTTCTTTTGGTCTGCACTTATAAGTAGCCCCACATCTGCTTACTTTTGAAATACTCATTTTCATCATTATTATACTAAAAAAATTCAAAGAATTTCTGGGTTTACTTTTCCTGCTTTGATTTTGGTATAATAGCAAATTTGAGTAGGGAATATATACTTTGCTTTTTCTGACCCACTTATGGTTTGAGAAAATTACTAAATAATATATCTTTATTTCTAGGTTTCTTTTGTGTCTCTAATTGAAGAACTTAGGAGAGTGTAAGTGGTAACATTATTATAGATGGGTCTTCTGGCTTATTTTCTTAGTACTCACAAATGTAATGTTACAGTTTATTTGGGAGAGTTGACATACTTAGTTTGTTCTATGTATCGATTGATCGATATCAATCAATTTATCTTAGTCTGGTCAGTTTCTCTTAAGTTCCTTAGATTGGCCTCTTAACGCCTGATCCTTCTACCTCATACCCCTGGCTTGGTTGAACTTTTGTTCTAGAATTTTTTCATTAGTGGACTATGGGAAATCAGTCGTGCTTCTCACATTTTGGGGGGAATTTTAAATCTTTTTTTCTTTTTTCCCCTATAATTCTATTTTCATGTGACATCAAATTGTTATTTTTCTGTGTTTAGCAGAAACTACTAAAGTTCAATTTGTTGCACAGGGAGATCAATTCCATGAATGTATCTGCTTATTGAGGTGTCTGTTTGATGCCATCTTGAGTATTAAGTTCAAAACCCTTTAACCCAGCATTACTAGATAGAACCCGATTCTCCCTGGCATTGGCATTCTTCATGGTACAAATTTTAGATTCTTTATGCATTTTTGAAATATATCACCAACTTCTTGTGTGTATAGATTTTTGCGGGGGGGGCCTCCCTGTAGCCCCACCTGACCTGGAACTCCCTATGTAGACCAGGCTGGCCTTGAACTCACAGAGATCCGCCTGCCTCTGCCTCCCAAGTGCTGGGATTAAAGGCGTGTGTGTATGGATTTTAATCATCTATTAGTTGTTGGTTCATTCTCATTGGAAAGGAGCTTAAGTGCCCCCCCCCCCCCGCTTTTGCTTGCCAAATTAATTTGCTGTTTTACTTAAACTATCAAGTTGATTTGTAGAGCTTTTTTAATGATTTGGTGCTGTTTTTATATTTAGTTGGTATATTGCAGTGATTTCTAATCAGGTTAATACTTCATTTATTTATTTAAGGATCCATGAGAAAGATGGAAAGATCAAGTCTGTGGAAGAGCTTCTAGAAGTTGAGCTTCTCAAAGTTGCTAATAAGGAAAAAACTGTTCAGGTATTAGGAGAGGGAGAGAAAAGTGTGTTTGGCCTTTCTGTTTATCAGCTTTAGTTACTATCATTTGATTTCATGTGCTTGTACATTGCATTTTTTTGTCAACTTTGGTGTGTTTCCATTGTCCAATCTTGTCTGTTTTGTCATTGTCAAGGCTTTGAAACAGGAAATAGAGATTCTAAAAGAAGAAATAGGAAATGCCCAGCATGAAAAGGCTCAACAGGTAAAAGTCCCAGAGCCATAGCATGACAAATTCATTAGTGTATATATATTATTTAGAAGCTGCTTTCCTCCAACCTTGTTATTCAGAAGAAAAAAAAAATCCTTTAATAGTTTGCTATATACTCCCCTTTCCAACTTTGACTGATTTCTGCAAGTTTCTGTGGTATTTTAATCTGTGCTTCTTTTAAAACTTCTTACTAAGGTCCTTTTCTAGAAAGTTTTCTGTATTAATGTTTCATTTTAGTTTGCCAGCTTAGAAAATATAAAACTCAGGGCTGGAGAGATGGCTCAGCCCTCAAGAGCACTGCTGCTCTAGCAGATGACCTGGGTTCTGTTCCCAGCACCCACAAGATGACTAACCACCACTTGTAACTCCAGCTCCAGGGGATCCTGTGCCTCTGTGGCCATAGCATGACTCAGGTGCACTTCTGCACATGCAGCCCAAACACAGAAAATAAAAAAATAAAATTTAACAAAAGAATAAAAAAACACAAAACTCAACGTTTTGGTAAAGCAAACTGCATGGCCAGAATATGTATTATTCAACCTCTGTCGCAGGAAAAATGCAAGTTTCCGTGGGTATTCTAAAGTAGGCATTTTTACTGGGGGTAGATGGGTTTTATTAAATTTAATATGATTAAGTTTTCATTGAAAAAGTTTTGTGACTATATGGAAGAGTTGATTCATTCGTTCGACAGATTCACTCATCAATATTTGACTTCCTCCCATCTGTAAAAACCTTATGCTAGAATTGGAGAGAACGTGTTGAATGATTAGGAGTTCAGGAGAGGCTTCTTCTAAGAACTGACATCTAAGCCAAGACTGAAAGGGCTATGGAAGAGAATCAGGATAGAAGGCACTGTGTTAGATCAAGAGCTGGAAAGATGGCTCAGTTGGTAAAGTGCTTGCTGTGCAAGCATGAGGACCCGAGTTCAGATTGCAAGCACTCATGTAAAAGCCCAACATGGCAGCACATGCCTGTAGCAACAGCACTGAGAAATTGAGACAGAAAAGTCTGAGTGGCTCACTGGCCTACTGGGTTGTACCCATGGGTGTGTGCGTGTGTGCATGCACAGGTATGCACACACATAAATTAAAAATAATAACTAGGAAATGAGTGAAGGACACTGTAGAATAGATGTTCTTGAAGACTGGGCTGGAGACGACTTCTAATGCTGATGGGAGTGTGTGGATAGTTGGTGAAGACTCTGATTTTCACAACTTGAGAAATACCATGTTATTTAGACTTATAACTGTCTTCCTTATTTTACCCTTTCCTTATTATTATTTACCGTTGTTGGAATCAAGAGAAGGTGAAATAAAAATGTATCTCATTTGGCATGAAAAATTTAGCTTGGATTTTATATTTTGAAGTATACACATTGTGAAGATTTATAACATAAGCTTAGTAGGGTGAATTGAAAGGCTTATGAACTTTTCTTTGTATTTCAGTTATCTGTCACGTCTCAAGTTCAAGAGCTTCAGAAGTTGTAAGTACAGTTGTCTCATTTCCCTGTAAATACCTCTTTTCTACAAGTTAAATGTAATGAAAATGATAGGGCTTTTTCTTTTTTGGTCTTTGTGAGACAGGGTCTCCCTGTATCCCCAGCTGGCCTGGAACTTACTATGTAGACCAACTGGCCTCAGGAGAGCTCTGCCTCTCTCTGCCTCCCAAGTGCTGGGATCAAAGGCGTGCACTACCACACTGGGCTATGATAAGGGCTTTTCCAATTTTATTTCAAATAAACTTTTAGAAAATATTAAGAGTCTTGGGTTTCCATTATACTTGAACAACTATTAGTTTTTTGTTGAGAAGAGGGTTGAACTCTTTTTGGGGGGTAGGGTCTTTTGAGACAGGGTCTCTCTGTAGCCCCAGTTGTCCTGGAACTCTTCTATGTAGACCAGCTGGCCTTGAACTCACAGAGACCTTTCTGCCACTGCCTCCCGAATGCTGGGATTAAAGGCATGCACCACCATGCCCAACTGAGAACTGTTTTTTTTTTTTTTTTTTTTATATATATTATAATCTGTATAACATTAAATGGAGGTGTTGGTCCTTCCTTAGTTTAATGGCCGTGTGAAATTGGGTCAGTATTTGACCCTTAAGCCAATTGTACTAAGCTGTCTAAATTTATTGACCCTGGCCTAAATACAGTGACATAGGGTAAAAGCTGAGCTACCCTAATTTATTCATTATTTGTATATGCAGTGATAGAATGATTTTCTTTCATTATACTTAATTTGATGCCTCCAAAATCTTTTCTGTCTTTATACTTAAAGTTATTTGTAGTTTATTTTAGTTTGGACCATGAGTAGTAATACCTGAAATATATTTTTATAGTCTTCAGTACTTTTGCTTGTTATGGTCATGCAAAATTTATATTTATACCTCTTATTAATTTGTCAGATTAAGAGGAAAAGAAGAACAGATGAATACCATGAAGGCTGTTTTAGAAGATAAGGAGAAAGACCTAACCAATAGAGAGAAATGGATACAGGTAAGAAGTTAAGGCAAAAATGAAAAATACCTTAATATAATATTTGAATGTCAACCCATGCCTATTCTTTTTAAGGATCTTCAAGAAGAAAATGAATCTTTAAAGGCTCATGTTCAGGAAGTAGCACATCATAATTTACAAGAGGTATAGTATAAACAAATGACCAACATACTACATGAGCAATGTGAAATTTTTATTGAATATTCTGGAAAGTAGTCAGTATTGTCTTAGTTTCTTTGCCAGAAAAGTCATGTCATGCCATAGTTTCGTTGTTATTATTAAAGTAAATTAGCTCTTATCACTTTCAAGCTATATTTATATTTAGCTGCCTGATTGGTCAAGCTAATACTGTGTTTCTCCTTTCTTTGTCAAATGTATGTTAGGCTCATTCTTAACTGTGTTTAGTTGGCACACTAATCTTTAATCCTTTTGAAAATAAATATTAAAAAAAAATAAAATTTGGTGAAGAAAACTCATTCAAGCCAGGCATAGTGGCTCATAGCTGCAATCTAGCCCTTGAAAGGCTGGAACAAGAGGATCGTTGTGAGTTTGAGGCCAGCTTGGGTTATGTAGCAAGACCATGTCTCAAAAAAACAAGGGGGCGAAAATTCTGTTTTTGTTTTATAAATGACCTAATGTTGAATTTGCCACATAATTATGCTTTATTTTATAGTTGGGTGGTTATGCATATATATATATATATATATTGTAGTACTTGGTTTATTTTGATGTTAGCATTGAAAATGTGCATTTGTTTCTTAGGTGTGTTCGGCACCACGATTTGAAGAACTTGAAATTGTGTAAGTATACTTAGCCAGCGTTTTGATGAGGTACTCCAGAATGTGATTAAAACTCATTTTGATGGGTTTCTCATAGGTCATTAACTTAATTGTTAAATGTTAATTACAGTTTACAGGTATATAAGGTAACTTTCTGCTTGTTGTAAAGCAGAGGCCTTTAGATGCTTACAAATATATAATGTCTCACCCATCTTCTCAAATGTTTTTTCTGTAAAACACATAGGTTTTAAGACTTTAAAAAAAAAATCATACAATTATTGTAAAGAGAATATAAACTGATTTCAGTTTAATCAGAAAATAATCTTAGCCCTCATACGTATAATAGACATTTTCCATAGGTGCACTTGCTTATAGGGAAAATGAGAAATGAATCTTGTCGAGTTCTATGCTGAATAATAAAAATATTGTAAGCAATTAGCTTAGGAGATATCATTCTTTGCACATGTTCATACTGGAACAATATTTTTTTATCCCATAAAAGTCTTTTTAGGAGCCAACCAGCAAGGTGACTCAGCAGATAAAGACACTTGCTGTCATGCCTGATGACCTGATTTCCATCCCAGGGACCAGTATGGTGGAAGGAGAAGAGAACAGCTTGGGGTAGTCAGTTTTCTCCTTTGACTGTGTGAGTCCTATGGACAGAACTCAGGTTGTTGGGTTTGGTGGCAAGCACCTTTATCCAGTAAGTCGTTTCACTGGCCCAGCAAAAATTACTTGAAGAGATTATTCTTTGGCATGATGCCCATCAGTAATTATTGAGGTTTATTTTAAGAAGTGCCCTCTTTGGGCTAGAGAGATTGCTCAGTGGCTAAGAGCACCAGTTGCTCTTGCAGAAGACCAGGGCTTGATTCCCCGCACTCATATGGCAGCTAACAACTGTCTGTACCTCCAGTTCTAGGGGATCCGATGCCATTTTCTGACCTCCAGGCATTGCACGACGTTGGTACACTTAACTTACATGCAGGCAATACACTGATAACACATAAAATAAAATAAGTAAAGTATTAAAAAAATGTCCCTTTTGAAACTGTGTCTTTAAGATAGTGAGGATACTAGGTCACCTGTATTTATAAAAGCAGTGGTGGCACATGCCTTTAATCCCAGCACTTGGGAGGCAGAGGCAGGCGGATCTCTGAGTTCAAGGCCAGCCTGGTCTACATAGTGAGTTCCAGATCAGCTGGGGCTGCAGGGAGACCCTGTCTCAAAAAGACAAAAAAAAAAAAAAAAAAAAAAAAAGAAACCCTGTCTAAAAAAAAAAAAAAAAAAAAAAAAAAAAGCAAGGAACCTGACTTTTCTTGGTACCATGATTGTGTATTTATAGAACTGTTTGTTTTTCTTTCTTTTTGGTCTCTTTTATACAGGGTCTCCCCAGCTGACCTGGAACTCGCTATGTAGATCAGGCTGGCTTTGAACGCACAGAAATTCGCCTGCCTCTGCCTCCCGAGTGCTGGGATTAAAGGCATGCGCCCCCATGCCTGGCCTTAGAATTGTTTAATGAGTAACTGTCAAGGTGTTTTTCTCTCATCTACTAGTAAAGAGCCCAGAGACATTTTTGGACTTTTCTGCTGTAGGTATATAAATCAGTGGAATATATAATTTTAGGGTCACTTCTGACTTTCATTTTTCTTGTCCTCCTTTTTTTTGGGGTTAAATTAATAGATTTTATTGGGGGGGTACTTTTAGACTTATAAGAAGATCGAAAAGTACAGAGAGCCTCTGTATCACCACTCCTATTGCTTCTGTTACTAACATCTTACATTAACATGGTACATTCATTACCATTGATGAGCCAAGAGCAGTACAGTTGTTATTAACTAAAGGTCACAATTTCCATTAGGATTTACTCTGTAGGTTTTAACAAATGTGTAAGAACAATGTATCCATCTCAGTATCATACAGATTAGTTTCACTGTCCTAAGTCTTTCTTGACTCGCTATTCCTCCCTCCCTCCCCCCCCCTCCTTTCCATATACTCCTCCAGTCCTCATCCAACTTGAATTCCTGGCACCACTGCCATCCTTCTCCATAGTTTTGCCTTTTCCAGATGTCATAGCTGGAACCATGCAGTATGCAACCTTTTTAGATCAGTTTCTTTCACTTAGCTGTATGCATTAAGTCTTGCTCTTTATTTCCATTATCTTTCATCTTTTTTTTATCTTGCTCGCTTTCTTTTTCAGTCTGCCCTCCCCTCTCCTTCCCTCCCTTCCGTTTTCCTTTCCTTTCCTTTCCTTTCCTTTCCTTTCCTTTCCTTTCCTTTCCTTTCCTTTCCTTTCCTTTCCTTTCCTTTCCTTTCCTTTCCTTTCCTTTCCTTTCCTTTCCTTTCCTTTCCTTTCCTTTCCTTTCCTTTCCTTTCCTTTCCTTTCCTTTCCTTTCCTTTCCTTTCCTTTCCTTTCCTTTCCTTTCCTTTCCTTTCCTTTCCTTTCCTTTCCTTTCCTTTCCTTTCCTTTCCTTTCCTTTCCTTTCCTTTCCTTTCCTTTCCTTTCCTTTCCTTTCCTTTCCTTTCCTTTCCTTTCCTTTCCTTTCCTTTCCTTTCCTTTCCTTTCCTTTCCTTTCCTTTCCTTTCCTTTCCTTTCCTTTCCTTTCCTTTCCTTTCCTTTCCTTTCCCTTCCCTTCCATTCCCTGACATCTTTCCCTCTGCCAACATCTTTCCCTTCCCCGAGGGAAAGCCCCCAATAATCCAGGCAAGCCTTGAACTCGGCAGTCCTGCCTGTGCCTCTTGAATGCTGGGATTATAGGCATGTGCCAGCATGTCTGGCTTTTCCCTTCTTTAATTCTACTCTTCATGTACACACTGTTAGTATTTTTCACGTGTACCTATGAATGTCTTGGCATTCTTTCTAAATTAAGGTGGGATAAAAGTAGTGTTCTACTCAGCAAACACTAGTCTTTTATATATCTTCAGATACTGGGACTTCTGAACTGGATAAAAGTGGATTCTAGCCCTGAGGAAATAGACAAATCATTGAATAATGTTAAGTGATGTGAAGAGGACTGTTGCTTAAAATGGCAAAGGCAGTTGGGATTCACTTGGGCTAGATTGAAGACTTATATCAAGATTGGGTAAGGGAGGGCTGGCAAGATAGCTTAGCAAGTAAAGGTGCTTGACGTCCAACCTGACTACATGGGTTTGATTCCTGGGAAGACCAACTCCTGCACACCATGGCAAGAACATGCACACATACATGAGTAAATGTAATTAAAAAGAAAAATAGGATTGGGGCTGGTAAGATGGCTCAGTGGGTTAAGGCACTTGTTGCTAAGCCTAATGTCCTGAGTTTTATTCCCCAGAACCCATACAGTGGAAGGAGAAAAGGAGAGAACTGACTCCTACAAGATATGACCCCTAATGTATACCGGGGCATGTGTGTGCCTACATATCCACATGCACACACACAGACACAGTCAGACAAACAGACAGACACACACACAAAATAAATGTACTAAAAAATAAAAACAAACAAAGCTTGGATAAGGGAGCAGTATCAAATTGTCCTATACATCTCTTTAGCACAAGGATTGTTTCTTAATTTCCAGGGTCAATGTATGGCTAAGACTGATGGGAGCAAATTTTATTTCTTTATTAAGTAGTAATTTTTGCAGTAAGTGGTTGAAATACTGTTTTGCATTTAGCCTTTATTGTAGAGTTTCCTCTTAATGGAAAGCCATATTTATTTAAGAAGGGTTAAATATAAAGTAAGTGGTTGTAGATTGTTTTTGACTGGGAAGTAGAATGATCCTGGAAATACTGTCTTTTAAAACACCCTTTCAAATTGATATAATACGGGAGGATATAGCTAGTAGGCATTGTTTGTGCTGTATTTTCCTTAGGAGTGATATCAGTCTGGCTTTTTTTTTTTCCATGTACATTAGCAAAGTAAAGTCTTTATAAAAATTCTAGGTTGAAAGAAAAGGAAAATGAAATGAGGCGAATAGAAGCTGTACTAAAAGACACGGAGAGTGATCTTTCTATCAAAACAAAGTTATTACAGGTGAGTCTCATTACATACAATTATTTATTTTCTGTCTTTGCTTGTTTAAAAAAAATGTTTTAACTGCTATATAAAAGGATGTAGAAGATGAATGAGGCTCTCCACAGGCTGTGGGTCTCATTCCTTAAAGGTGAGTACTGTTTGGTGCTAGTTGTGAGAATAGCATTCTAAACATAGGAAAAAAGTTGGCTGTGTCATTAAATCACTGGTCATTTGGGCAGTGATTGAGCTGTTCATGGAACATTTCATAACAGGGGCATACATCCTTGGTTGTGATAGGTGGAAGATGGCCACTATTGCATCTATCTGGAGCCTATTTATATTGTTAAATGACATAAAACATCCCCCTACAACAAAGAAATATCCAGCCCCACATGCCTCTGGTATTGAGCTTGAGAAACCTCGTCCTGCCTATTGCATGTCACCCTACACTAAATTCTTACAAGAGTTTGAGTTATTTTTGAATACTGTTTTATTCTACTGAAACATACCCACTATGAGACTAGTACTAAGCGTAATTACTGCAATTGTATAATATGCTTTAATATGTGGCTTATTCCATTCTTTAAAATTGTTTCTATTTTGGAATTTTTCTAGAAAATAATGGTATTTTAAAAGCTTATATGGACAGTAATAGTTTCTGTCTAGACACTCATGTTTAAATTTTTGTTTAAATAGGAGGTCCAAGATGAAAATAAATTGTTTAAGTCCCAAGTTGAACAGTTTAAACAGCAAAACTACCAACAGGTGGGTGCTAATTCCTATCTGTCTTTTACTTACATGGTAAAAACAAAAAAACAAAAAAACAAAAAAAAACTGTATAAGCAGTCACTGTCTACAAATACTCTTTGCCATTTTAACATTTCCATTGAAAATAAAATGCTTGTTCTTTTATAATTGCGTGTTTGTCAAATTTCCTATAAAAGCAATTTACTACCTATGTCTAAGATAAAATATATAATTCATAAAATATGTGCAAATATTACTGTGAGTATTCCAGCTCTATTGTGTGTGTGTGTGTGTGTGTGTGTGTATGTGTGTGTTCTGATCTTGCTACAATGCTTTTCTTAGCAAGTCAGCTAAAACCCAAGAGGTTTGTTTAAACATGTGCATACTATCTTCTCCTTAAACAAAACATCAGTAATTGGGAAGAAACTAACATATATATATGAAACTTATAAATAATGGTCTATCATTACTTTAAATACCTTTTAATACATTTTCCTGTGTCTTTAAGAATATATATATATATGTATATATATTACACAAATTCATTTTTTTTTGTAATACTGGAATTGCACCTAGGGGCCTTGAGCATGCTAGGCAGATGCACTTCCACTGAGCACAATCCCCAGCCCTACCAAGTATGTTGCCCATAGTTTTCTTTTAATTTGTGAGCATAGTAGAGAGACCAGAATGTATTTGAGGGAAAATAGTTAAGAGTTCCTGTTGACAAGAAATTTGCTGAAGCTTGATAGATTAGTCATTGAGGATATATGCTGTATGTGAAGGCCATTTATCTTCACATATAAAGTCAACTTTTTAAAAAATTGGATGTGAGGAAATGAACTTTTTAAAATTTTTCTGTAATTTCATTTAAATATTTTTTGACTTTTAGAAACCATTATGGAAATTAAAAATACCTTGGCACTATACAACAGGAAATTGATACATTCTTACCAGTGAAGACTTTATACAGTGACAGTGAAAATAAGATTAGCACTCAGTTCATCTTATAAATTTGTATATACTTTATTAAAGTCAGAGTGCTGGTATAATGGGATATATGGTAGTTTTACCTTTACTGTTGATCTTATCTCCAAGAAAAAGTACTTTTGTTGTGTTGTAGGAAACTTTTTTTAAACTAATATTTAACTCTTTCAATAGGCATCTTCTCCCTCGCATGAAGAATTACTAGCAATGTAAGTAAGAAGTTTAATTCACAGTTTGGGAAGTGGTAACTTTTTATATGCTAAATTGTTCTCAGACAAGGAATTTGATGTGATTTCAAATGATCACCTAAGTTTTATAGTTCTTTTTAACTGTCTTGAACTGCCAGCTATGGGAGCTTAGTTGGGTTTTTGGCCAGCTAATAAGCCTTTTTAAAGTATGTGGATTTCTTCTAATATTTTGTTGAGGGAGATGCTTGGGCTTGCTGTTTTTCCTTTTTGGCTTTTCAGACATTGAGAAAATTCAGTCAAATTGAGTGGCACATAAAGGTCTCTTGTCCCATTGTCCCGTTGTTCTGCTGGTTCTTCTCTAATCTGGATTTACTGTGGAATTGAATGGCACAAATGTTGGTTTGGCTTTTGTATTGTAGTGAAAAACAGAACTGTTATGGAATTCCCTTTTAAGAGGTTTTTTTTTTTTTTTTTTTTTTTTTTTTTAATGAAACATTTTTCTTGTCAGCCTGTGATTTTCACTAAGAAGCTACTTATTTAAGGTCATTTATCTTATGTTTGAGAATTCCAAATTTCAACCACAAAACTAAGTATTCTTTCATCATGTCTTGTTTACAAAGTTGATATTTAGTAGGTTAGGATTATTTATTGTTTTAAATTTAGTCTTAAGTTGACTGTATAAAGCAAGAATCTGCAAACATTTTCTGTAATGAGCCTGATAGAGGGACCTCAGAGATCTTGTTTTTTCATATTGTTTTGTGTATATGTGGGTGTTTTTAAATTTTTATTTATGTATTTGTGTGTGCTTGCTTGTCTGTATATGCATCACATGCATGCAGTGCCAATGGAGGCCAGAAGGGGGCATTGGCTCTTTTGGAACTGAAGTTATAGGTGGTTGTGAGCTGCCAGACATGGGTCTAAGAATTGAACTGGGTCCTCTGCTCCTGACTTGGGTGCTAAGAACTGAACCTGGGTCCTTTGCAAGAGTAGCAACTGCTCTTGGCTTCTGAGCCATCTCTTCAATCTCTATTTTTATTTTTAAGTATTATTTAAAAATGTAGAAGCAGGAGACTGGGCATGGTGTTGCACACTTGTAAATAGCAGGTTCTTGAGGACATGAGGTAGGATGGATAATCACTTGAGCCCTGTGTATTCTTAGAACCTTGCCAACATAGTGAAACCTTGTCTCCAAATGGCTGAGAAACAACATAAGGGAAAGAAGGATTTGTTTTGACTCACAGTTTCAGAGATTACAGTTCATAGTCCTTGACACCATTGATTCCAGGGCTGTAATGGGAGAATATGTGGAAAACGAGGATGTTAAACTCATGGTGTGCAGAAAGCAGAGAAAGATAAGAAGAGTTGGGTAGGGCACAAGGAATTTCCCGTGTTACCTACCTCTAATGATGCACTTTCTTCATCTGGGTCCCATCTCCTAAAGTTTCCAGGAACTTTCACACTTGTACTACATGGAGCCAAGCCCCATGATATGAGCCTTTTTGAGGAGCATTTCATGTATATGTATATGTATATGTATATGTGTGTGTGTGTGTATATATATATATATATTTTTTTTTTAAATATTTTATTATTTTGTGTGTATGAGTGTAGTGACTCATGTGTATTTAAAAAAAAGAACAAAACTCTTTCTCAAGGACCAGACGTTTTGTTAGGCAACCCCTTGTATAGAGCCTAGTTCTTAAGAAAGAGCTGTTTGTGTTGGGCATGAGGGAAACATGCTTTTAATCCTAGCACTCTGGAGGCAGAGGCTGGCAGATCTCTGTGATTTTGAGTCCAGCCTGATCTACATAATATGTTCCATAATATGTTTCAGTCCAGGCTACACAGTGAGACACTATCATTAAAAAAAAAAAAAAAGTAATAAAAATAAAGAACTTTTTGTGATATCCCTTAGGTATAACTGAAATGAATTGTAAAATTTTTGCCTTTCTGCATTACTGGGAAATAATGAAGGCATTGGACTGGATGGAGGTAGGGGGCATGAATTCTAGGATTAGGCAAAAAATGGCAAGAGAGCAACTAGGTCACTTTAATATACTTTGGTTGTTTTGATGAGCCACTTAGTCATAACATCACCATCTTTAAAAAAATAGATGTATGTTAGAGACCCCCCCCCCCCCAAAAAAAAAGCAGTTTTCAGTCGTTTAAACAGGTATTGCAGTGATACAGGTAATAAAAGAAAAGAAAAGCTGCGGCAGATCACATATTCAGACTGCCTTGTGTGGGTTGAGATTCTGTAGCACAGAACACTTGAGCTTCAGTTTGTTGTATTATAGGTACAAACTTGTCTAACCCAGACTATCCTTGAATTCACTTGAATTTCCGATCTTCCTGCCTCCACCTCCCAAGTACAGGGGGCTGTTCTGGGTGGGTTTCATGTGATGCTGGGGAATGAAACCAGGTCTTGTACGTGCTAAGCGAGCACTCTACCAACCTGGGAGCTATGTCTCTAACCCTAAAAATTACTTTTGAAATTAAGAATTCCTAAGATGGGCTTTCTGTGTCAAAGAGTAACTGAGCAATGAATGCATCTTTCAAAGTATCACTTGCTGTTTTTGTTTCACAGTAAATATTGATATGTACTTATCTGATTTGTATTACTGTTAGGTAAATTATTTATCTAAAGTATACATTCATATTCTGATTTAGAATTTCAGAAGGAGAAAAAGAAATAACTGGTCTCCGGAATGAATTAGATTGTTTGAAGAATGCTGTTGAACACCAGAGGAAGAAAAACAATGTAAGCAAGTCTTATGAGAATGAGACTTTTTCATTTTAGCACCTCAGTGTTGAAAGATGGGTCAGGAATTTTTTCTTTGAATCTGTTTTTACTTTAGATTTCTTAATCTTCGAAGAAAGCACTATTGCTCTCTGTATGGATCATTTAGGGGCACTATTTTAGTGATCATTTTATTGGAAAACAGTTTTAATAAATGTGAAAAGATGAATTTTTATACTGAGGAATACCATTTTAAATAGGAAACTGAAAATATAGTTGCCTTTTTGTTAAATCTTTGTTTGGAAAAATAACTTTCAAACTCAGTATTTTATTTATTTTAGTAAACTGGGCTAGCGGTTTTTTTGTGGACTAAAAGTGATGCCAATATTCTGTCCTAATGGGGAAGTTTTCAAAGCCTGGAATTTTTCTTTTTAAAGTGAGAGGCAGTACAAATATTGGTAATTAAGTATACCAGTGGTCTTAGAACTTGGGAATGAATAATTCTTTAAAAACTATAGACCCTAGTATGTTGACCAAGCAGACAGTAGACTTAGCTGAATTTTATAAATTCTCTCTTACCAAAAGGCAGTAACTACTGGTAGAGTCCAAGCATGCTTGCCAGTGAAGTTATTTTCACATGAAAGTATGATTGCTAAGTGTAAGCAAGATCAGAATGTTACTGAAATCTAAGGGAATGTTGATAATAAATGTTATTTCTAATGTAAATTGAGTTTTAAAGTTTGTGTTAAATTGCTAACCTAACAAGTTGGCATTTTGTTTTACCTGAGAGTTTGTCAAAATTAGGTATGTGAATCGCCTTTGTGTGTTGCATATTAGTTACTAACAGCATTGCTTAGCCACAAAGCTTGGGGTGAGCGTTCCAATATATTGTTAACTTCTTAGCTGTTTTATTGTTGGGATTCTTAGATAAGGAGGGCATGGTAATGCCACTTTAATTCAGCAGCAACAGCACTGGAGGCCTTTTCAGGCCTGTGGAAAGAGCCAGACACGGAAGGCCATCAGGGTACAGCATCACTGCATCCTCCTTCTGCCACTTGTATGAACTTGGCCAGACTTCTTACCTTTCTGCTGTGGTTTCCCATCTCTAAAGTGGGAATAAGTAACATATAAATTGTAAGGATTAATGAGAATTTGTGGAGTATTAAGTATAGAATTTAGCATCTGGACATCCAATAAAATGGTGGTTATTGCCTTTTAAAAATACAGTATATTGTTTTAGTTTATATTTGCTGAGGAAATACTGTTAAAACATCTTTCAGAGTTCCTTTCTGAATAACCTCAGTTTCTCTTAACGAGAACGTACTTTATAGTTTCCCTGCCTCAGTTGCCTCAGTCAGCTAGCTTGTACAGTGGTGTCAGATTGTGGCATCCATCTTTGCCATGCTGAGAGGGACAGAACATACTTTGCCATTCCGAGGGAGATTGGAAATGTGCTAATTTTATTAAAAATAGTTAGAGGGAAAAAAAATGCTAATACTACAGTGTATTGGTCCTTGTTTTAAAATCACACAAAAAGTGTTTTGCAGCACTGGTACATTCACTCTGTCCTTAAACTCTAATGTTTGTTGTACCTAAAATCATACTTGTAATCCTGGTTTGCGACTTACCTTTGAATGCTTTCTTTGTTGTCACTTGTGCACCGTTAATTATTTTTAAAGTTGGCATATTTGGTATGTGTATTAAAACATGAGAAATGGGCATCTTTATTTTCTCATTCAAACTTCTAAACATTGCTTTTTATTTTTTTGCTAATATACATATTTTCCCATTGAAATAATTTTGCAGTAATCAGCATTTAAATGCAATGCAAAATACTGATGAAGTAGTAAGAGGAGAGATCTTAATAATGGATAAACTGAAACCATTCTTTCTAAAAATGAATAGGACCTTCGGGAGAAAAACTGGGAAGCAATGGAAGCATTGGCATCAACCGAAAAAATGCTGCAGGACAGAATGAGCAAGACTTCCAAGGTTGTAATGCTAAGTCCAGAACAGTCCATGGCCCAGAGACCTGCAGCTTCCCTTAAAACCAGACCAAACATTGAACTCTACTGCAGTTTAAATATAAAACCTCCTTGTCATCCACGTCTATCATCTTTCTCTGCTTTTTCCATCTACTCCTTGAAACTTTAATTTTGGACATGCTGGTTTGTTGGGTCCTCATTGTTGGAGCTTTGCTTTGTACTACCTTAAGCTGAAGAGTCTCTGAAGACCTGTGCTCCACATGCAGGTCCTTCTTTGTCAGACAGTATGCCTCTTGCTATAATTAAGAAGTCCAGTGAAAACCCCAAAGTGAACTAAAGAACAGATTGAAAACCTAGCCTGTGTCTATGATGCAGAATGAAGTAGGTTTTCTAGGATGTGCCAAGAAGACTCAGACAAGGGTGAAAAATGGTAAAAATCTTAAACTGTACAGAAGAGGGATCAGTTTTGAGTATGGCACTGGGAATGGATCCTCAGAAGAGAGAGACTTAAACTTGCGATTTTGAAGTAGCTGGACAGCAATGGCACCCCTGTCCTGCTTAGGATAGATTATTAGTTTGAAGGGTAATTCTCTTGACCAGAGTATATAACATACTCCTGAAACATATGTTCACTTTATCTTCAAAACAATGAAGGACATTCTCCTTGAGCTTAAGTTGTCCATTGGGGGTGAAGAATTGTAATAGAGAAGTCATTTTAAAAATTTGAGACAGTCGAATATATATGCAGCACAAATACCATTTTGCAGATAGGCTGATGAATGGATCTATGTGATTCATTTCAGCACCTGAAAGTGTTATGTGGTAGGGTAATCTATTGAATTTTAATTGTAAGGGCATTTGAAATATTTTCTTAGTAGAATATATTAGTTTTATTATTTGCCAACTTTATGTGACTAGGTGTATTTCTCCTAGTACAGTAGATTTATATTTCCTTAATGTATTTACTTGGCCAAAATTTTCATTAAGCTCTTAATTTGAGATAGTTGATAGGTATTACTGCAGAAAATAGGAGACATTAGGTCAGGAGGGGATTATTGTCTCATTGTGAGGGGTTTTAGTTGTACAGTCATGTGTCAGCAATGAGAATTCTATTACAGTTTTTGCTTGTTTCTGTGCCTTGTTTCTCACTATTTAGAGCTACTGTTTGGCTTTGGTCGTGTTAGTGAGACTGGATAGCTAAGAAATGCTTCTTATGCTGTCGCTGCAGGAAATTATTTCGTACTCTGATGCCAAAAGATAGCTGCAGTGTGTGTTGTTGGCTTGTACAGCTAATGATCTTCAGGGGCTGGAATTCAGTTTTAATAGAATTGAGGCAATCCTTAAATAGTATAGGTGTAAAGTGCTGTTGATTGACCATGCAAATTACAGCTAGCATTTTAGTTGCTAGAATGAAGTCAGTTAAAGTGAACAAAGGGTGGCAGACTGCATACTGCTTTAGGATTTTTATTTTTATTAACTGTTTTTTTGAGACTGTGTCTCATTATGTAGTCCCAGCTATTCTAGCACTTGAGATCCTCCTGCTTCAGCCCCCTGAGTGCTGGGATTATAGGCATGTTCCACCATACTGCAGTTATTTTTAAAGTAGTAAATCCTTATAAGGAACTACTGTAAATGACAGACTTAGGTAAAAGATCCAGTTAAAGATGACAATAATTCAGTTTCTAACATTAGATCTTTTGCAGGTGTTGACATTGAATGGAAATGCAAACTTTATAGCTAAATTTATTTATATAGAATAAAATTAACTTACTTTGTGCCTATAGATTGCAAGTTAGATACTTTTTTCCTTGGTAAGTTTTTAGAATGCTTCTGTTCCACAGTGTCTTTTCCTGACTGATTTCCTTTAAAGATTACTCTCACTGAATGCCTGTGGTCAGATGATATCAGTAATTTCTTGGTTATCTCTGAAATACCAGTTGTTTCCTTGAGTGAATATACCTTACTTTGCGCAGTTAAGTATATTCCTTCAAGTTAGTGGACTTTGCTTAATTATCGAAAATACTCCAGTAAAACAGCTGTTCTGAAATACTGCCACTAATCCTTAATAATGCACAACTTTTTGTGTGTATGGAATATGAATTTTCTAGTTTTTGTTGTACAATTTAGATTTTCACGTGATTATATTGTTCTTAAATTGAAGTGTGTTTATCTTAAATCAGTAGCAGATTTCAAAGAGTACAGGAAAGAGCTGGGGAAAGATGCTTGAGATGGTGCTTGCTTGCCCTGACATTTGTTGAACTTCAGTAGTGTTGTTTTGGGATGGTTTTGCTTTTGATACACATTTCTGTAGGTGCCTTTTTCTGAGAAAAGTCTTGTAGAGATGGCTTGAACATTAGATTTGAGGGGCTGTATGTCTATGATTAATCATTACCCTAATTTTGACAAACTATGGTTCTGAGTTTATAATTGATATATCCACTGAAGTTAAACTTCAAAAATCAGCAAATTGAGATTAAACATGAGTAATAATTTAAATTTACAGTTCACTGAGTCCATATATAAATGTCAGAAGTAATCATATTGATGTTTGGCATTATTGAAGTAATATGTCCATAGTTATATCCCCATTTAAATATGAAAATTGCTATTCCATTCCCTCCAGCTGTATAGTACCGTTAGTACTTTGGTTTTTAGTAATTTTTATGGCCAGTAAGCCTCAGTTATGTTGTCCAGATGGATCATTCTTTGTAAGGTAGCCTGGGAAATTTCAGTTATAGGAAGGGGTGTGTGTGTGTGTTTGTGTGGGATGTCCATAGTTATATCCCCATTTAAATATGAAAATTGCTATTCCATTCCCTCCAGCTGTATAGTACCGTTAGTACTTTGGTTTTTAGTAATTTTTATGGCCAGTAAGCCTCAGTTATGTTGTCCAGATGGATCATTCTTTGTAAGGTAGCCTGGGAAATTTCAGTTATAGGAAGGGGTGTGTGTGTGTGTTTGTGTGGGGGGGGGTTGCCACAGAGCATGTCAGAAGACAACTTGTAGGACTCTGTTCTTTCCTTCCACCGTATGGACCTGGGGACTGAGCTCAGGTTGTCAAGCTTGGTAGCAAGTGCCTTTGTCCACTAAGCGATCTTGCTGGCCCAATTGTTTAGTTCTTATCCTCATTCACGTTCATATTTTCTGATCAGAAATTCGAGAGAGAGAGAGAGAGAGAGAGAGAGAGAGAGAGAGAGAATGAGAATTGTTCTGGGAGAGTTGAATCAATTTATTTCCAATGCCAAGGAAAATGTCCATATTGTCAGATACAGTTTTAGATTAAGATATTTGCTGTTTAGAGTGCTCTAGAGAGTTTACAGATTTTTTTTTCTTTAATGAACCATTTTTTTATTGCCTTAAAGTAGGAAAATTTAACATTTGCCAATATTAAAATAATTTTTAAATGTACTTTCCTCCAGTAGATCTTAAAAGATCATAGCTCTTGCTTTTCTTTGTAAAAATTTTGTAACCTTGTAAGTTGATCTGGTGCATCTTCTACTTTAGGAAACACAGCAGCACGTGGAAGCTGTTGAGTTGGAGGCTAAAGAACTACTCAAAAGATTGTTTCCAAGGGTGTCTGTTCCTTCTAATTTGGTAAGATGAATTTATTATTAGTTTTTGTTTTAGTTTTTTGAGATAGGGTCTTCCTGTAAACCCAGCTGACCTCGAACTCACTGTATAGACCAGGCTGGCCTCAATCTCACAGAGATCTACTTGCCTTTGCCTCTTAAATACTGGAACTAAAGGTGTGTACCATGCCTGACTTATTATTAGGTTTTAATGTGACATTATTTAAGAAGTTGTCAGTAAGTAGCATTTGCTTTCTGCATTTGGTTTTGATAGACACCGATTCTTTATTCTTCCCCATTCCTAACCCAGGGTGTGCTTCTGAGTAGTCAGAAAGTGCTCATTTATACATATTCACCTAAAACTTGTGTTGAGTGGCATGTAAACATATTTGGAAAAGAGTTTCTGAATGGTTAATAAAAACAGTAACAAAATTCTTACTGGCTTTGTTCAAAGTAGAGCTTAATTTTAAGTGATCACTTCTAAGTTCTAGAAACAGTTTAAGTATTCGATGCTATGAACTCAAGATTTTCATTTATTCTTCCCTCAAAAGTCTTGACAGTAATGGAGAGCAGCTGGCTTTATTTGAGGTTGATATTTTTTAATTTGAAGTAATTTCAGGAACCTTAAAATTACCTTCAAAGAATTTGAAATCCTCTGAACAGAACATCTTCAATTAGGCTTTCAGTTTTTAAATTCAGAATACTTTGTTTTAAAAACTGTTTTCTCTGGAAAAATTATTCTGAAAAAATACTCATTTTGAATTTTTGGTCTTTTAAAAATTGAATTCATTAGCCCTGGTCCTAATAAATACTTTTCTTGGCATTAATACATGAATTTTGAGCTTAGATTTTCTGTCTTTGAGTCCAAAATTCAGTTGTAAATATTTTTGGTATGGAAAAATAACATTTCATTTTAATAGTGGCATATAGGTATTTTAAAAATATTTTTGTTTGCTTTTAGTTGGTTTTGTTTTGATATAGTCTCCCTGTATAGCCTAGGCTGGTTTGAAACTCCCTATATAGCCCAGGTCTTTGAAACTCAAAGGTAACCCAGGTTGACCTTGAACTCATGATCTTCCTGCCCAAGCCTTTCCAGGGCTGAGATTGTAGGCATTCAATATCATGCAACTTTTAGTGGCTTGTTGTTATTGTTGTTGTTTGTTTGCTTTTTTGGTCTTTTTGAGCTGGCCTAGAACTCAGTATGTGGAGCAGGCTAACCTTAAACTTTCAGATCCTGCTTCTGCCTCTAGAGTGCTGGGATTAAAGGCATGTGCCATCACACCCAGCAGCTTTTAGTGTTTTTAAAAAGACTGTGTTATGTTTAGTTTATGAAAGTTACAGCCTTCTTTGAGATTCTAAGTGTGATGGCATTGTCTTTTTGTAAGTTTCTTTTATAATTGTCCGATTTTGTTCTTTTAAAATTTTTGATTTATTCCACTTTTTTGGCAATTGGTGACTTTCACTTTTCTCCCCTATAGATTTACAGTGAATGGTTGCATGGATTTGAAAAAAAGGCAAAAGAATATATAGCTGAAACTCCAGATTCAGAGGAGGTTAAGGTTAGTTCAAGAAGTGAAGTTTGAATTTTAAGTAAACATGGGGAATGCAGCAAATCAGAACTTATTCTCTTGAACTTTGGGAAGATAAAAGGATATATTATTAGTTGGATGGTGAACTGTTGAGAAAAGTGTAAGATGGTTTCATTTCTAAAGCCAAGTATTTAATTACCCCTGGTCTCTTTGTAGCTCAGGTACAGATCAATTGAGATGTGTAGGCAGAATCTCACTGGTTTGCTGCAAGGTCTCCAAGTGCTTCTTAGTCATACTCAGAAACTGGATTAGTTTTTGTCCTTGGATCCTGAAATTATGGAGATTCCTTATGGTTTGGAATTCCAGGTGGCAGGAATAAAATCTCCTTTTCTTGTGTGTTACATAAGCATCTAACATTCATTTATGGGTCTCCTTCGATTTTGCCATGTTGCCTAAGCAGTAACAGGCTCAATTACCGTAAATCGTGTAATGTATTTTATAGTGAGTACTTAAAAGAATTTTATTAGTAAACATCAAATGACCAAAAAGGTCATTGGACCTCATTGCTCTTGAGGAAGAGTGAAACCATTTATATCATTAAATATTGAAACTAACTGAAGCACAGATCTTTTATTTGTAATTTTTATTTCATTCTTTGCAGGTTCTAGAGCACAAGTTGAAAGAAGCTGATGAAATGCACACATTATTGCAGCTAGAGTGTGAAAAATATAAATCCGTCCTTGCAGAAACAGTAGGAAATGATTTTGATTTACATTTTTATTTTAAAATTATTAATTTACCTTGTCATGGCCCAAGTAGTTTATCTTAGCACCAGAACATGAATTTTTCAAAATAACCTTACTTTTGTCTATAGGAAGGAATTTTACAGAAGCTACAGAGAAGTGTGGAACAGGAAGAAAATAAATGGAAAATTAAAGTTGATGAATCGCAGAGGACTATTAAGCAGGTATTTAAGAAGGAAGAGCTTAGAACTTAGAAGAATATAGCATTCAAAGTGTGGAGTCTACCAGCAAAATCGGTATTGTATGGGAGCATGTGAGCAGGGAGCGTTCTCATCCTTGTTCCAGATGAACGGAATCTAGTGTGTGTGGAAGGAAGGGTGGCAGACTGTTGAAATGAGCCCTGAGTGATTCTCATGTCTGCCCTGTTTGAACATAACTAATCAGAGTATGATAAAAGGGTGCTAATGTAGAATACAGTGCTGTGAAAATTCTAGAACTACTGTATGATAGTAAGGTTAAGAACTCTGGGTTCAAAATAGGTTTTAAAATATTGATCTTAACCTATGATATATAGTATTCAAGAAAAGGTTAAGTCATTCTTGTGTGCATGGACCTGAATGTTACTGTGCAGTCTTAGTTTTGCTACCATTTTCTTGTTGTAGTAAAGAGTGGCATCTGTTACTCATGGGTATTCTTATGTCAGTGTTGTGTGCAGGCAAGCTGCAGGTTACTGGTAGTCTTCTGTGTTAATACCTTTCGGTTGTAAATATAGCTGATTAGCTGTTAATTATTACCAAAAAATAAGTACTTCAGGCAGGGCCTAATAGAAGATCAGAGAGATGGGTAGGTTTTGAGCAATATGGAAATAAGTTGCATGTGAGGCTTATTTTTAAGGGCTTTAATTCATGATTCAGTATGAGTTTGAAGGAGGCATTTCAAAACCTTTTAGCAAGGCCAACAAGATGGCTCAGCAGGTAAAGTTGCCTGCCAAAATGTGACAATCTGAGTTTGGTCCCTAGGGCACGTGTGGTTTCAGAAGGAGAGAACTGACTCCTAGTTGTCCTCTGACCACAAATGTGTTATGGCATACATGTGTACCTCCTCCCCCCCAATAAAAATGTTTTTGTTTGTTTTTTGAAACAGGGACTCATTATAGCCCCAACTGGCTAGGATCAGGCTATTGGATCAGGCTGCCCTTGATCTCATTGAGATCCACCTGCCTTTGCCTCCTGAGTGCTGGGATCAAAGGCAAGAGTCAACATGCCTGGCTCCCAAATAAAAATATAAAAAAAAAGAACATCTAAGCAGGCATGTCCCTCCTGTGGCCTGGGATAGCCATGAATATGGCCCAGCCATTTATAGGTCATGTTATGTCATAGTGTCAAAAGATTGGATGCCCCTAACTCTAAAATGTCTTTAAAATTCTGTGTGGTAGAGCCCTCTGTATCCTTGGTGGTGTATATAGCCTTAACGTTGTTTCACATTTCAGATGCAGTCCTCTTTTACATCTTCAGAGCAAGAGCTGGAGCGATTAAGAAGAGAAAATAAAGATAGTGAAAATGTATGTTACTTGATTCTTATGCTTTTATTATCTTAAGTAGTTTGAATTGCTATAGTTTTAAATTTATAAGTATCTTAACTTTCTATTGAAGGAAAACTCATGAAAGGACATTTCAAATGTTTTCACTTTTCTTTGCTGATAGCTGAGAAGAGAACGAGAGCACTTGGAAATGGAGCTGGAGAAGGCAGAGATTGAACGAGCAACTTACGTGACAGAAGTCAGAGAGGTACTTAGAACAGAGTGTTTAATTTGCTCTTCACTTCAAATTAAGCTTATAACAGTGATAAAGTATTTCAGTTTAAGTTGTTTGCGGAAAAGCTTCCGAATAGCATACAAAACACGGGCTATCATAAGATCAATCTTAAACTCTAAACTTCATTGCAGCTGAAAGATCTGTTGACTGAATTGCAGAAAAAACTTGATGATTCATATTCTGAAGCAGTAAGACAGAATGAAGAGCTTAATTTGGTAAGAAGCTTTTCCTCCACTGAGTGTCAAGTAGGCTCTGGAGACACTTGTGTTGACGTGGAGGAAACCGTCAAACTTCTTTCCCTTGCTAACCATCTTTAGCTTGGCATTTTTGTAAGTTAAAGATGATCTTCATGTTCTGATGTCTCCTAAGGTGATCTTTCTTTTCTTGACTTCTAAGATGAGTCTTGTTTTCTTAGCTCCTAATAATGGCATGTTTGGCTTCCAACTCTATTTCAAAGTTTTCTGCTTTTTATATGGCCTGATTTCTTAAACAGTGTTACTTTCAGTGACTAAAAAAAGACTGGATGAATTATAAAGATTATTTTCTCAAACTATCATACTTAACTAGACCTTAATTTTATAACCCAGAATATTAAAGGTTGTGGACACATGTTCTTCATTCAAGGGTAGTAACACAGTCAAGGTTCCATTCTACTAGTCTTTCTGTAAGTTCTAAACTTCAGGACTTTTAAGATTCCCCCCTCCTCCCCTCCCCTCCCCCTCCGTTCTTGCATCCCCTTCCCTCTCCCGTCCCCTTTTCTCCTTCCCACCTCTCCCCTTCCCTCTCCTCTCTCTTCTCCCCTCTCCCCTTTCCCCTCTCCCCTCCTCTCTTCTCTCCCCTCTCTCCCTGATTGAACCTAGGGCCTCATGCATAGTAGGCAAATGTTCGACTGCTTAGCTATATCCTCAGCCCCTTTTTTACTTTTAATTTTGATACGGGGTCTTGGATAAATTGTCTAGGCTGGCTCTGAACTCCCTTTGTAGCCCAGGCTAGCCTTGAACTTGGGATCCTGCTGCCTCTACCTCCCAGGTAGCTAGGATTACAGACCTGTGCCACCAGACCTAACTTTAGTTAAGTGTATTTATATTGATTGATGACAGGCTGAGCTATTAGATGGATATGGCCATCTTGTTCTCAATTTCAGACAATAATCATTATTTCTAAGATTTCTGTGACTTAGAACTTGTTACAGTATGATTCTTCTTTTTTTTTTTTTTTAAAGTACCTGAGCATACTTTAGGACGATTATATTTCTCCTTACCCAAATTAATCCTGCCCATTTGGGAGTAGTTTCATTAACAATAACACATTAGCCAAGGAGAACATCTTAGCGCTTTCCTTTTCATTTGTGGTGCTTCTGTGTCAAAGCAGTGATGTTTATTTTTTATTTTAATGCTTAAATTTTTGGGGGGTTAGTAAATAAAGTATTGGGTTCATCATGTCATCTTCATATATGTATCATACATGTGTCTCAATCCCTTACTGCCCTTCCCTGTTCTCCTTTCTTGTTCTCTCTATCTGGTTCTCTCTCTTTTTTTTTTTTTTTCTGTTGGGTTTGTTTTTGTTGTTCTTGTTGTTTTTTAAAAGAGGAGGTTTGGCTGTTGAGTCCAGGCTAACTTGAACTGGCAGCTCCTCCTGCTTCGGCTTCCAGAGTACCAAGATTATAGGCGTGTACTCCAATACTCAGTATAACAGTGGTTTATGAGAATCAGTTTTTAGAGCTGTATGCTGAATATTTTATTTATTTTTATTTTATGTGTATGAGTGTATTGCCTGCATGTATGTGAGTGCATCCATGTCGTGCAATGCCGTGGAGGTCAGAAGAGGGCTTCAGATTCCCCTGGAACTGGAGTTAAGGATGGTTTGTGGCTGCCATGTGGATGCTGGGAATCGAACCTGGGTCCTCTGCAAGAGCAGTCTCTCCACTGCTCTCAACTGCTCAGCCATCTCTCCAGCCCTCAAACCGTTGTATTTTTTAAAAAATGCTTATTTGATATATCAGTGCTGTGATTTAATTCTGAATTCCACTGAAATGTGAGACTTAATTTTATGTATATATTTACTATACATTGCACAGATCAAGCTTGTATAATGTGCCACATAAGCCACTACCCTAGAATGTTTTTTTAAGAAAATACTTTTAACTAGGATTTTGCTTTTTTAATTTTAGTGCTTAGAGGCTGACTTCCCATTTGCATTATATCTTTAGGATTATGATTGCATTTCTATTTAGTCTAATGCTCTCTTTGCATTTGTTGCCTCTTTGCCGTTACAAGGCAATTAAAAAATAAAAAACTTCCTTTTTTGTCCTCTTTTGTCTTGGGATTGTAATAGTTACTTCAGTTATTTTAAAATGAAAATGATTTTGCTTGTCCACACATACTTTGTATGTTCTTGGGCCAAAAGATCAACCTCTCTTGACAAAAAGAATTAAGCTAACAGTTAAGTAAAGAAAGAAAAACTGGGGCTAGAGAGATGGTTCAGTGGTTAAGAACACTGGCTGCTCTTGCAGGGGACGTAGGTTCAATTCCCAGCACCCACATGGTGGCTAACTCTAGTTCCAGGGGATCCAGTGCTCTCTTCTGACTTCTGAGGGCATTGTATGACACAAGTGTACTTACAAACATGCAGGCAATAAACTCGTACACAAAAAGAAAAATAATAAATTTAAAAAAAAATATTTTTTTAAAAGAGGCAATAACTTTGGGCATTTAAACATGGTTCTCAAATTTTCCAAATGGAATGCCTCTTTATTCTCCCTCCCATTTTAAATGTCAGTGTCTTTTACTATATTTCTGCCCTTTTAAGTCTCTGAAACTGTTTGGAAAGTCATACTTGTGGTTGGTAAGCAAAAACAGTAACTTAGGCAACATGGTTAATTTCCATTATATTTAATTAAAACGGCTGTCTGAGAAGAAGCATTATATATTGGTTCTAGGTTTCTAGAGCCTGTTTGTGACAAATTGGTTATTGAGAGTGTTTTATCTCAAGACATTTCTTAGTGGTATAATTTATGCCAGTGTACTCTTGCACTGCTGTTTTAAAATTTATTTCATTGGATTTGCAAACTTCTGTTCACTGTCTTAAAGTATTAAGCAGTTGACTTTTTAAAGGAATTGTGTAGGAAGAAATTGTATAGACTAAAACATTTTTCTATTTCCCTTTTTATTTGGAATAATTTCAGTAACTACTTTATGAATAGTGATTCTTTTAAAGGGCCCTTTCCTGGAGTCTTCTTTTGTTTTTGTGTTTGTGGTTTTCTACATTAAACTCTAGTTCATTTCCATAGCTTCTCTTAGGTATAGCTCTGCAGATGGGAGACTCTACAGCTGGCTTTTCTATACATCTGGTGCAGCATGTTAGCTAATCGCTGTGCATAAGGACTCTTAGCATTACATTCTTTCATATTCACCTTTCAGTCCTAGAGATAATCAGCATAATCAAATAAGTGTGCAAAATGAGTTAATTGTTCTGAACCTTTGTTTTTACAGTTGAAGACACAGTTAAATGAAACATGCACAAAACTTAAAAATGAGCAAAGTGAAAGAAAGAAGGTGGCTGATGATTTACGTAAGGTGAGACATTGCTTGATCAGGAGACAGTGTTGTCCCAGGCATCATAAGCAAGCACACTGTCAGTTTTGCTCTTCTTCTTTGCACCCTTATAAATTAGGCAGTTGGTTGTGTAGCACTTTTTTGGAATTAAACTTTGGCTTGCTTTTTTTATTATTAATAATTATCTCATCACATAGTCCATAGTTTTTTAAAACTATTATTTATCATCTACCTAGCATCTGTCTGTCTGTCTGTCTGTCTATCTATCTATCTATCTATATCTATCTGTCTGTCTGTCTGTCTGTCTGTCTGTCTGTCTGTCTGTCTGTCTGTCTAATCTATCTGTCTGTCTGTCTGTCTATCTATCTATCTATCTATCTATCTATCTATCTATCTATCATCTATCTAAAGACAGGATCTCCCTGTGGCCCCAATTGGCCTGGAACTCTCTAGACCGGGCTGGTTTTGATTTCACAGAAATCCACCTGTCTGTCTCCCAAGTGCTGGGATTAAACATGTGTGTCACCATGTCTGACTTGTCTCTAATTATTTTAAAAAATAGCCTGAAATTATAAATTTAATTAGATGTTACTTAACATTTTTTAAATGAGATTTGCCATCGTCATTTACAAAGAATAGTTCTGTTTGTGTTTATGAGTAAAATGAAAAAAATGTATCCATGTCTGTTGTTTTCAGAAGTTTGTCCCTGTCATTTATTTCCTTGTACAGATATATTTTCTTCTTTGCCTCCTACTTCCTCTTCTTCCACCCTCCTCTCTTTTCTTTTTCTGAGATGGTCTCTCTAGGTAACAAGACTGGCCTTGCACTCAATGTCTTAGCCTCATGACTATTGGGATTATAGGCATTTGCCACTATGCCTGGCACAAATGTTTTGCTTAATCTCATACTCAAATTGATGGTTTTTAAAATTATACTATTTATTCTTTGCATTTAGGTAACAGGTTATTTATAATTCTGATGTGTGATATTTTTAATACTTCATCTGTGCTTTTATCAAAGCTGGTTTAGAGTTATGCTAGTATTTATGGGATATTGTCATTAACAGAAAAATTACATGTCACTTTATTGGAATTGTAGAATCTAGGAAGTATGCACAGCTGAAATCTTGATATCTGTAACAATTACTAGTTAGTAATAAACATTTTTTATTTATTTATCTATTTGTTTATTTAGTCTTCTTGAGATAGGGTCTTCCTATAGCCCTAGCCGATCTGGACTTGCTATGGAGGCCAGGGTGGCCTTGATCTCATAGAGATCCATTTGCCTCTGCCTGGGATTAAAGGCCTACAACCTCCTTGCCTATATTAACAGGCTGATCTTTTATTTGATATTGTCATCTTTAAAAATTGTTGGTTATGCATGATTACAGCTTTATGATTATTATTTGTACAAAAGTCTGAGGAATCCAGAAATTCTTTAAAATCTTCAGATTATTTAAATGTAAATTAAATGTGAATTTAAGAAGTTTGTGTTAGAGCACAAACTTTAAGGCTGAGTTGTGGATTAATTAATGATGTTATTTAAATTTTGATCTCTGAATCAAAATATAAGAGATGCTATTTTAGCTTTGCAATAAATTTTCTCAGACATTTCTTTCAGGATATTAGATACTTAAAGAGAGATTGCTTGAGTGGCATGGTGGGCGCAGCCTTTAATCCCAGCACTCAGGAAGCAGAGGCAGGCGGATCTTTGTGAGTTCAAGGCCAACCTGGTCTGCATAGCAAGTTCAAGGCCACCTGGGGCTACAGGGAAACACTGTCTCTCAAAAAAAGAAAAGGATAGAGAGATTGCCATACTATATGTGGTTGAATGGTAATGATAGGTGTTAATCACCTACTTTTGTGATAGAAATACTGTACACTACTCAACTTGAAATACACATCAATATTTATTGACTGACAGTTTACAAAAGTTTTTGCAAAACATGCAATATAAAATATCAAATATGTTAAAGCCCAGTTGCATAAAATTTTCTGTCAGTTTTCTTTAAATGTATTTTATATACAAAGACAGATAGAGACTAGGAGTCAGAAAACCTAGACTAATTTGGGATTTGTGGGCTGTTTCTTTAACAGTTTTTTGTTATAGCTCCCTTGAGGCAGAGGCAGGTGGACCTCTGAGAGATCAACGCCACCCTATTCACATTGTGACTTCCAGGCCAGCTGGGACTAAGGAAGACCCTGTCAAAATAACAACAACAGCAAAACTAGTTTTTTGGTTTGGTTTTTTTTAAAAGAAATGTTAAAAAGCTAAGTATGTTGTCTCATGCCTATAATCCCCAGTACTTGAGAGGCCATGGCAGGAGGATCAGTAGTTCACAGTCAACCTTGTCTACAGAGCAAGGTCGAGGCCAGCCTAGGCTACCAGGCTATCTCAAAAATATGAAAATTAACTAATTAATTCAGTAAAAGCATAGAATACATTTTTAGATGTGAGCTGTACAGAAACAGATCTTGGGCTGGGTGTAGCAGACCTGAAATTTATACAAACACTTAAATATCAGTATGGTTATTTCTAATTTTAATTTCTTTATAGAATTCATTCGTTTGAACCTTTAAGACAGGGAGTGCATGTTCTTATAATCTGGTGGGAGATGTAGCTATTTTTATTTTGGTGACAAAGTTTTATTTTGTACTTTGAGAGGAACTTGAATTTTGTACAAAATACATATTAAAGTCATTCTTTTTGTATGTATTTATCAGCTTCTATATTGCTTTTCTTACAGGCCCAGCAGTCCCTGAATTTTATCCACTCAAAAATTTCAGTCAAAGCTGTTGGAGATACTGCTGTTATTGAGAATAGTGGTGTTTCCCCAGAAATGGTATGTGTTTCCTATAACCCCAAATCTCTGGACTAATTGCCTTGCAAACTTTTTGAAAAATAAATATGTGTAAGACCCATCTTTGGCTTGAAACTGTGCTTCCAGGTTTCTCTTTTGGAGAGCGAGGACAGGGAGCAGACTTGGGACAGACTTGGGGGTGGACTCCATGGTGGTGTGCTTGTTACACAAGCTCTCTGTCACTGAGCTAACCCAGCCCTGTATGTAGTAGTTCTTAACTGAAAGTTCTTTCCAACAAAATATCTTCTGTACTCTTTTTTTTGTCTTTTACTTTAGCTTCATGAGATACTTTAGTGTTTTTATGGAGAGCTATTATGATATAATAATAGTGCTTTGGAGTTAGAGTGCCTGTGTTTGACTCCTTGCCCTGTGGCTTAGTAACTTCATGTGTGACTCTAGACAATTTCCTTAGTCACTCTGTGTAGTAAAGGAAAGTGATAACAGCACCTGCCTAGTAGTGTTATCAGAAGGAACAAATGAGTTGACATGTAAAATACCTTGAATAAAAGATAGGACTTAAAATAGTGCCCTGATACCTAATAAGAGCTCAGTGTGTGTCAGCTTTGATCTGTGCTATTTGAAATGTACGCTCCTTTGTTGGGCAAGTTTTTCAAACATTGCTGTTTTCTGAAAGGAAGGATAAATTATTTCTGATATTCACTAACTAGATTTTTCCCTTTATGGCCAGTAATCAGCAAACAAGATTTTTTTTTTAATGCAGTTTTTCCTATCGCTAATTTTCTTACCAATGTTCAGATTTTTCATGTTTATATTTAAAGTACTTTTGGTTATACATTCTTGTTCTTTGTGTTTTTTTTTTTTTTAATATCACTTCCGCTTTTTTTTCAGGAATCTTCTGAGAAAGAGACAATGTCCACAAGTCTCAATCAGACTGTCACGCAGTTACAGCAGTTGCTTCAGGAAGTAAACCAGCAGCTCACAAAGGAGAAGTAATAACCAGGTTTGGGGTATGGATCACTTAAAGACTACCATTATATACAGAATTCATATTTGCCAGAAAATAAAGGAAGTTCTCATTTCATAAAGAACATTATCCTTCTTTATCTTTTCTCAAAATCTCCAGATGTCCGCTTTTACTTTTCTTGTTTTATTTCTTTTTTCATAAATTACACATATTTATGTATTTATTTGTGCACATGACATGACAGAGGACAACTTTTAGGAGTTGGTCTTTCCTTCCACCATGTGGTTCCTGGGCTTTGAACTCAATGTGTCAGGCCTGGTGCCAAGTGCCTTTAGACCTGCTGAGCCAACTTGCTGGCTTCTCTTGTTTTATTTCTATCTTGTGCATATCACGACGGTTTTTTTATTTGGAGAGGAAAAACCCCTTGATCTTTTTCTACTTAGAACTTCTAATCAAGCAGACTTTGTTGTGACTTGGCTACTTGGGTTAGCCAGTTGTCATAGTGCCTGCAATTGCTTGGGGAAGTATCCCTGTAGTGTTTCCCCTCTCTTTATGACTTTTGGTCATTTTCAATTCGTTTTACCTGTGCTGAGCTGAAAATGATTCCATCATAATTTTTAACAAGAAAAGTAGCACACAGTATTTGTTACATGCCTAAAGCAGGGGAGTATTTGACTTCATAATTTCTGTAAATTGGAAGCTGTTTTTTTTTTTTTTTGAGAAGACTTAGCTGTGCTATAGCCCAGACTCAGTTTCCACAGTGCTGAATTACAGGACGGTACCACCACACCAAGCTGGTGTTTTATTTGTTTGCTTTTGAGGTAATCTAAGAAATTTACTCATTTAAAAAATATTTTATTAATTTATTTTTATTTTATGTGTATGAGTGTATTATCTACATATGTAAGTACGCCATGTCATGCAATGTCCACAGAAGTCAGAAGAGGGCATTAGATTTCCTGGAACTGGAGTTACAGACAGTTGTTAGCTGCCTGTGGGTGCTGGGAACTGAACCCTGGTCCTCTGCAAGAGCAGCCAGTGCACTTAACTGCTGAGCCATCTTTCCAGCTTCAAGAAATTTATTCTTTAATTCATGAAGTAAGAGTTTTGACTTTGGACAAATTAATCCATCATTAATCATGCTATGAGCTTTTATTTATATTACTTTAGAAAGCTCAGTTGTAGTAACATTTGAAAATGACTTATATTCCAGATGGTAAATCCAGATGGTTTTATTATCTGGGTTTTACATTCTATAAATGACTTAAATCACATTGCCTAGGTAATCACAACATATTGGAGATGGCAAAACTTCATTAAATTGTGCTTTTCGGAACGCATACCTAAGTCACTCAGATTATGATCACTGTGTAAAGCCCCAGGGACAAGTGTCAAAAAATTGGTATACCTCTATTTTGATGTTGCAAGGATGTACTATCATACTTTATGTTTTATAGGATACCCATTGTTTGGCTCTACCTAAACACATGTACTTAAAATTGTGATTTAGGCCAGTTGTCTCTCAGAAGTTATACATTGCAAACCCATTTCACTTTTTAATGTTATAGCAGCAAAGGTCTCATCTCAGTCTTTATCTTTGTAGTTCACATCTCCAGTTTCCTGGAGTCACATTACTGTTACAGTCCCCTCCCAAATCAGGAGACAACCTTGCTTTCTGTTTCACAGGAAACTTCCATTTCTTCCTTCTGTAGCTTCAGTCTGACTCTGCTCCTTCTTTTCTGACTTGAAAACATGCCATAATAGTTTAGTCTTGTTTTTCTTTCATGCCACCATTCTAAAAGTTTTCCTTCACATATTTGCCTTTTAAAAAATTATTTTTTATCTAAGTGTTTTGCCTGCATGTATATGTGTACCCATGTCATGCACTGCCCTCAGAAGCCAGGAGAGGGCGTTGAATCCCTTGGAGCTGGAATCATGGTGTTAGCTACCTACCATGTTGGTGCTGGGAACCAAACCCAGGTCCACAGAGCCATGTCTCCAGTCCCTTAACAAGTGTTCATCAAATAAGACGTTATTCTCACTGTATTTATTTCTGTACGCAATTCTTCTGTCTACTCTAGAATAACTTCTGTCTAAAGAAGTCATTTTTGCTGATACCATTAATAATTGCCTAAGCTTTTATTTGCTTGCATATTATGGGTTACTGAAAATATGTATGAAACATGCCAAGTGTGCCAACTTTAGTCAACAAGACTTTGTGTTATGAGGAAAGTGCTCAATGCTTAGAAACCTAAAAAACATTACAGAGACTACCTGCTCCCTGGTGACTTGAGACCCTTCTGGTGTTTGTCAGAGGGTAGGTGGTGACTTTCAGTGCTTTCAGCACTAGCACTTTAGGTTTACGTTCTTCAGAAGAGGACTAGTAACAGTGACTGCACAGTGCTGTTCTCTTGATGTCTTCTACATTACCTAAAAGCTTCTAATCCTGAGAATGTTCTCTTTGAGTACAATCAGTGTGAACTGCTTTGGATGCAGTTGAAAGTGCAAGGTAGATAGCATGATATATGTACAGGGTAAATGTATTCTGGTTGCTTTTTCTTGCTTTGTTTTAAAAACAGCTATTTCTCTTATCTTTTACAGAGTGGTGTACTTGGGAAACTATTCATTAGAAGATAACAGAAGGCATTGTATTATATTTTGCCAAATTAAAGCCTTATTTATGTTTTCACCCTTTCTACTTTGTCGGACACTGAACAGAGTTTTGTCTTTTCTAATCCTTGTTAGACTACTGATTTAAAGAGAAAAAATAAAAATTAAAAAAAAAGCAAGAAAAAGCAACATAAAGCCTAAAGTCACTGTACCAGCATGGTCATATGAACTGTTCCTTTTCCATTCCTAAAGATAAAATAAATGTAATCTTTTACCTTATTTTGCTCAATTAATTGTTCAGAAAATCAAAGTGGTAAAGACAACATGAAATTTAACATTTTAATACTGATGTTGTACACTGTTTTACTTAACATTTTGGAAAGTAACTGCCTCAGACATCAACTCAGAAAACACTTTTTTGTTGCTAATGTAATTGGTTTTTGTAATGGCAATCAGCAAATAAAGGGATGCTTATTATTCAAACATGACTTGCTCTAGTTTTCATTGAGCTTTAGCAGGTTTCGTTAGTACTTGAAATAGGTTGACATCATTTAGAATGCAACCACTAATTGCAACCACCAAACAAAATAAAGCTTGTTGCTTATATGTTTCTCTGACTAGAGCTTTGTGTCTTCTGGACTTCGGTGCTTTGTGAGCTGGTCCCATGTACCACAGGTTACAGAAGGGGAGGTGCAGGCATCTGAACCCATCCTGCCTCTAGTAGAGGAACTTTATTTTCACTACTACAGCTATAGTGTTTATGTAAGGATTAGCTTTTCAGATACTGTATCAACATAGGTCATATGTATTATCTTTTTTTGGTTGGAAGTGGTTTTTTTTGTTTTTTTAAAAATAATTAGATTGAACACCGCTCTCTTCAAATGACAGTAAACATTGACAGATGTCTTTCGCCATTGAGTATTGATGTCCTCTTTGGGCTCCGTTATGCAGTCGTGCTCCTTCCTCAGAGCCTTTGCCCTCTGTATTCTTTCTGCTTAGGACTGTTTTCTTTTGAAGCAGGTTTAGTAGCATCTGCCTATAATCCTTGCATTAGATGTATGCAAACAGGAAATTCACAGCTTAGCCAGCCTGGGCAACAAAGCAGTAAAAACAATAGCCTTTTTTGCTTTGAATATCAGCTTTGGCTTGTCCTTGGTTTCTGTTTAAATGTCACTGTTCTCAATGGTGTCTTTGCTGACTATCTGGTATCCCTCTTGCTGTCTGTATTCTGTTTATTTTTATCTGTAATACTTACAGTTTTCTAATCTGTACTTCATTGTTCTCCATTTCTTGACCTGACAATAAGATCTATGAGGGCTAGAATTAATCTCTTTGGTTCTGTTTTATATTTCTAGTCCTTAAAAATTGTATCAAATAGCAGGTCAGTGAATGAATGGAATTCATTTTTAAATCTGAGGATTAGTTAAAGTCATGTCTCAGAGCACAGCACCAAACATTTCTAACATGCACAGAGGAAAACCGAACTGGTTCATGTTCAGTGATACATAGCTTGTAGATTCAGGCCACCTCAGTGCTTCCTGGCACTTGCATAAACCACCGGGAAGTTGGATCTGCAGGCCCGGTGATGTTATTAGCTTACTTCCTCCTTTTGCTTCTACCTATAAATACGCTCCTGTCTGCCATCTGAGGGACAGCCTGCTGCCCATCATCTAACTTCTTGATACTCTCAGAGATGATTTCTCAGAAAAATTGCATTATTTTTCAAACCTCTCTTATATGTTTGAATTTCATAAAAGAAAAATAAGTTTGAGGAACTGTGGAGTCACAGCTCGATGTGTGTTCCTCCCTTACTGTCCTAGTCACACGCATCCATCTTTCACCTTCGAAGTATCGGGAGATTCACAGCATTGCTTACCCCAATTTGGGACATGAGTAATTGTTAATGATTTCCTGTATGCAACCATATTAAAAGTTTTTTCCCTGGTATGTCTATCAGTCTAGCCTGCTCTACTCTGAAATCACATAGGAGAAGCTAACTATACCCCCATTCATTGATAGTTCAGAGAAGCAACTGTAGCTCTGTGTACTAAGTCCACTGCCCTTTAGGCTCTATGTTCCTGCTGCATCAGTTGTGCTGTCCCTGCCTCATCCAGGCCCAGCTGTCCATCTTTCCTACTCTCTTATAAGTAATGTAATTGGGAGCAGACTTATGCCATAGAGCAAGGTCAAGAGCATAATGAGGAAAGGAGACCAGGTTCAGGCTGTTGTGTAACATTCTGAGGATTTTTCTCAGTTCATTCTATTGACATTTATGCTTTCCTAGAAACCAGACTTTTCATATTAATTAGTAGAGTTCTATCATATAACAGTTAATAACACTTGTATAACTTCACATGCTAAATTTTTTTTTAACTTTTACGAAAACTTTATTGAGAATTTCATACATGCATATAAGGTGTTTTGATCAAATCCATGCTGATTCTCTCCTTTCCAATACCTCCCATATCTCCCCAGTACTTTTTTTCTTTTTCTTTTTTTTTTTTTTAAATTTCATTTATTTATTTTTTGAGGGCTTTTGACTATAACATTCCCCCCTCTGAAGAGGTAACCCTAAAGTCTTTTAAGAATTAGCTACAAGCTCCCAAATACTTTCAACATTTTTGGCCTTTGGAACAGAGTATGTTGCTAACAGTCCCAAGGACATTTTGACTTTTAGCCAAGAAACTGGCTACTTTTCTTTGGGGTCTTTTTCCCCTAACTGCCTAGCCAATTCCTACCTCCTATCCTTTTTTTTTAAACAGAATAATTTATTTTTAAAGTAATTAACACTAAGATGTTTGCACATGCATTTTGCATTTTTAATCTCTATATGTCTGATTATTACTAGTCACAGTTGGTTACTTTCTGAGCTCCTTGGCATCTGAGCATGGATATAAAGTCCATCACAGGTAGATTTCAAGGGTAATGTTTTTCAGATCTACTAATTATTAAGGAGCAAATTTTTATGCTTTCAAGAATTTTTTTTCTTTTTTATTTAT